GACAGGGAACCACAGACAGATCTAAACAAGAACAAAACACAACGCAGGACAGAAAACCAAAGACAGATCTAGACAAGACACAACGCAGACAGAAAACCAAAAACAGATATAGACAAGACAAAACACCATAAGACAGATCGTGACAGATTGTATCACTAGGCCACCAGGGTGGGTGGAGGGGGTCAGGAGGACGGGACTGGAGCTGACCGCCGAGGGCACAGCAGAGGACCAGGAAGGGATCTCGGGCGGACGTTCCGGGGGCAGGCAGAGTTCAAAAGGGGGATTCGGGCGGGACCAGAGAGGGGACTAGAGAAGTGACTAGAGGAGGGACTTGAGAAGGGACTAGAGATGGAACTCGAGAGGTGGACTCGAGAGGGGACTTGAGAGGTGACTTAAGAGGGGACTCGAGAAGAGACTCGAGAGGTGACTGGAGATAGGGCTTGAGAGGGACCCTCGAGAGGTGACTTGAGAGTTGACTTGAGAGGTGACTTGAGAGGGATCTCGAAAGGGGACTCGAGATGGGACTCGAGAGGAGACCTGAGAGGGAACTGGAGAGGGAACTAGAGGTGAGACTAGAGGTGGGACTAGAGAAGGGACTAGAGAAGGGACTAGAGAAGGGACTCGAGAAGGGACCAGAGGAGGGACTAGAGAGGGGACTAGAGAGGTGACTAAAGGGGGGACTGGAGAAGGGACTAGGGAAGTGACTAGAGGAGGGACTTGAGAAAGGAATTGAGTAGGGACTAGAGAAGGGACTAGAGAAGGGACTAGAGAAGGGACTAGGAAAGTGACCTGAGGAGGGACTAGGGAAGGGACTAGAGGAGGGACTAGAGAGGGGACTAGAGAGGTGACTAAAGGAGGGACTTGAGAAAGGAATTGAGTAGGGACTAGAGAAGGGACTTGAGATGGGACTAGAGTTGGTACTTGAGAAGTGACTAGAGAAGTGACTAGAGGTGGGACTGGAGAAGGGACTAGAGAAGGGACTAGGAAAGTGACCGGAGGAGGGACTAGGGAAGGGACTAGAGAATAGACTATGGCAGCTGGGGCCGGGACTGGGTCTGGAACCATGGCTGCTGGGGCCGGGACCATGGCTGCTGGGGCCGGGACCATGGCTCCTGGGGGCCAGAACTGGAGCTGAAACCATGGCTGCCTGGGGCCTGTACTGGGGCTGTAACCATGGCTGCTGGGGGCTGAACTGGTTCTGGAACCATGGCCTTTTGGGCTCTTGCTGCTACCTGGCCTTGCGACTCCTCTTAGGAGCCGTTTGGAGGCTCCGTGGACCTCCAAAGGCCAGACGAGTACCAGCGAATGGCTCCTGGACTGTAGCAAACACTGGGTGAGAAGCAGGGGCTGACGCCAGACGGACCACACCGATGCGTGTGGTATCAAAAAGGGAATCTGGAGACCTGGGTCTATCAGGATCGGGAAAACAAACCGTGAGGTAATCCAAAAGCCAGGCCGGTAAGATTTGACCCAAATCTTGATTCCCTCAGCGTAAGGTGGACTGCATCTGCCAGAGCAGCATTTCGCTGCTGAACCCTGACCGCTCCTATCCATCGATGAGCGTAGTCAAACAAAGAAACGGTATAATCCACTAGTTCCTGCTATCAAACAAATCTGCTGGGCCCATATCGTTGGTCGGTTCGTAAAGTTATGGTGTGTGTGTAGGAAGCAGGACCCAAATGCAGATTACGTGACAAAAATAACTCCTTTATTTCAAGGATAGACAATAATCAGAGACAGAACAGAACCCTCACCGCAGACCAAGTCATTACACAAGACGAACCGACAAAGACAGACAGAAAAACCAGAACTTAAATACACACAAGATTAATCACACAAACAAGACACAGGTGAGGAGGGGAGGAGAAAACACAGGGGCCACAGGTGAACACAATCGGGTAATCAGACACACCAGGGAAACTAACGACAGGGAACCACAGACAGATCTAAACAAGACAAAACACACAACGCAGACAGAAAACCAAAGACAGATCTAGACAAGACACAACGCAGACAGAAAAACCAAAAACAGATATAGACAAGACAAAACACCATAAAGACAGATCGTGACAGATTGTCCCTCATGTAAAACGGGGTATATCATGAGCTATGACCTTCACGCAATATGCGAATCCTGCCTGGGGCCAGAGCACGCGGACGCGGCTCTCAGCCAGCAGGTCGCTTGTTCGCATTGTGCCCGTCTCCCGTCAGCCGACAGGAAGCGAAGAGCGGACGCTCTAGCTGCTGTGGCTGAGGAGGACGATTGGCCCGTCCAGAACAGGGACGACAGCCTGTCTCTGGAGCCGAGTGCGGGGCAGGAGTCGGACGACTCCTACCCCGGAGACGGGGTCGGAGCGAGGTACGGGTGTGGCGGCAGAGCACGCGGTCCCCTTCTCCGTTGCCACGGCGCTGGCCGCCGTTGGGTGCATTATGCTGGGGGCTGCCTGAGATCATCGGCAAAGCAGCAGCCTGCAGAGGTCTCCCGTTCCCCCAGGACGGGAGAGGGTGGCTCTGGACGACATGGCCGGAGTGTTTTCCCGGGTTCAGACGGGCAGGATTGACCCGATCTGGCCGCGCTTTCCCCCGCCATTAGGAGTGGTACCAGGCCTGGCGCCGTTCTCAGCGCCTGTTTTGTGCATTATAGAGAGCGCTCGATCGGGCAACCTCTGTCGGCACAACGGCTGTCCAACACTGGCTGTGTGAAGCTGTGTCACAGGCATATGTCTCCTCTGGGGTGGAGCCCCCGGAGAATATCAAGGCGCACTCCACCCAGAGGAATTTCCTCCTCCACGGCGTTGCACGGAGGAATGTCAGTGGAAGATATTTGCACTGCTGCATCTTGGTCTTCCCCCTGTTCATTTATTCATTTTTATTTGAGGGATGTCTCCCATTCCTCTCTGACGCACCCTGTACTGGGTGTCCTGTCGGAGTGAGTGACGTCAGGGATCCAGCTGTGTGCCTCTCTCCTGCCTGTCTGATACGCAGAGAGCTGCTGTTCCCCCTCTATGATCGCAGGACAAGGTGGGACCTTCGTCTCTACTTTCTCACAGCGGCCGTTATGTATTGTTCCCAGTCCTTCAACCCCGTCGGGAAGACAGGCATGTTTTGCTATGTTCCAGGGACGGTAATGCGCCATTACGCATGGCACAACAGGCAGGGGGGTGTTATTGAGCAGGTGTGTCTGTGCTTCTAGTGCTGGGGCGGACCCAGTGGGGCGCAGACTACATCATGCTTCGCCCTTAACCCAATAGCGATAGCCTTAGAGGGCGAAGCCATATACAAAATAGAACTGAGGTTACCTACTGTAACCCCAGCTTCTATGAGTAAATGGGCGCAGCCCTCTAAGTGCTGGGGCCCCACTGGCTCTACGAATAGCTGAAGAAAAGTTATTTTGTATGGGAGCAGATTGCCGGGCCTCCTTCCTATTTATACCGGAAGGAAGCCAGAGGGTGGGGCCCACCTTGCGGGTGGGCGTGGACTACAAGTGTTTCAGTGCTGCGCGGGGGCGCAGGGGGATTACCCAATAGCGATAGCCTTAGAGGGCTGCGCCATTTACTCAGAGAAACTGGGGTTACAGTAGGTAACCTCAGTTTTCCCTGAAGTTAGCCGGCTAAGCGAAAATCCTGCTTCGTAGTACAGGCCTCAGGCCTGAGCTGGAGAGGAGTGTTTGTGTCTTCCTCATTGATAATGTTTATATGCAAACTAACATTAAAAAAATTACAGAAGTATAAAACAAGAAATGCTGGAATAATTTATAATTAATACCGGTAATAAATGAATGAATAAATAAATAAAAGTTGAGAATAAAACATACACTAATACATATGTTTAATGTCATCATTTGTGTTCACTTTCATTTATTCATTTGTGTGTCTAAGATAATGAGGTTGTTGGACCTTCTATGCTTTTAAATAAACATCTTATTTATTTATACTTAAAACGTTTTTTTTCCACATGTATTTATTATTTTATTCATATCTGTATTCATGAATTAATTTATGTATTGACTTACTTGTTTACTTATCTTTGTATACTTCTGTTTAACATCTACATTTCATTTGAATTCATCCACACTGCAGTCTCCGTCTCAGTGGTTGTGATACCATGAGCTGCCACAGGAACAGAGCTGATGTACAAGCTAATGATTCACATCAACTTCTCGTCCTTCCCGTTCTCTGTCGGGATTCCCAGTGTCAGAAGTTAGTAGGCTTGTTTGAGACGACCTGCAGCTCGCCTCGAAAGTAGACGAGAATAGCCGATCGCAGCCGGGGGAGGTCTCAAAAAGCTCGCCTGAAGTCGGACAGCTCGGAGTCGGCTTCTTCATCATCTTCTTCTTCTTCTCTCGGTTATTTGGCGGGATTGCAAACAACTTTAAGGGTGCATACCGTCACCTCCGGAGTCGGCTTGACTCGGTTTGCATTTATAAAGAATGCACAAATGTGTTTAATCGTTATGTCAGATATGTACTAAGTAAATACATTTGTTCCTGCTCAAGATTAGATTCAACTGTATTGTTTATTGCACATATTACAGGTACTGAGAGAACGAAATGCAGTTTAGCTTCTAACCAGGAGTGCAACAAGCAGTAAAGTGAAAAGTAATGTACACAATCTACAGAATAAAATATAGAATTAATTGAATGATGAATAAAAAAGTGAGGCAGGGTTTGAATATATATACACAGCAGCCTGTGAACAGTGTATGAATATGCTAAGATATATAAAGTATGAAAACGGTAAGCAGTGCAAGTATAGTTTAAAATATATAGATATTAATTTCATGATGATAAACATTGTGGAACAATGATGAAAAATGTAAATGGAAGTGGCGACGTAAAACTGACACAAAACAACAACAAACTTTTGCCGAGCCAATTGGAGAGTTTCATCAGCAGCACGGGGTAAAAAACCACCAATGAGCGCTCAGCACGCCACACAGCGGCGTGCGTTGAAGCTTCCAACGCTTCTGCCCATTCACTTTGAATGGGGTGACGTCACTTTTAGCCGAAATGCATTTTGGGAAGCGACGTGGAGCGTTGCTGGAGTAGCTGGCGTCAAAAGTTGAGCAATGTTCAACTTTTGACGCCTCGACGGAGGCGTCAGCCAATGAAATCCCGTTTATATTCAAATCTGCCAGTACAATCGCATAGCCAATCAAACCGCGTGTATGCTGGGAGAGACTACGCAGGTAATTTCCTCATATTCAAAACAATTGAGGGGAAATTCATTGTAGCGGAAGTGAATCACCCGGTGCTGTATGATCAGTCTCTGTTCATCTACCGGGATACAAACCGGAGGAGCGAGGCATGGAGGGAGGAGGCAGAGACAGTGGGTGAAACTGGTAGGTTTTCGCCTGTTTGGGGATTTTATATCCAGTTTACTTCGTTTTAACATTGCTATTGCTATTGCCATTAACATATTTTCTAGCCGAAGAAAAACTATACTAATTTTCTCCTTTTGAATCTCTGCAGGAAAGATGGAGACTCCTAAAACGATACTCAGCAGCACTTTGGAAGATTTGGGGAAAGAGGACTTTAAAAAGTTCAAGTGGTACCTTCAGGAGAAGGTCCTAGGATTCAAAGGAATCCCAAAGAGTCGTCTGGAGGATGCAGACCGGATGGACACAGTGGATCAGATGTTTCTGCACTACTGCATCAATACGTTCAAAGTGACCATAATAGTTTTGGGGGAGATAAAGCAGAATAATCTAAAGGAGAAATTATCAAAACACCGTTCAGAACCTGAAGGTAGGTCATTCAAAATATGTTACAAACATGGGACTTGTTTTTTGTATAACCCTTTATTAGGGCTGCTCAATTAATCGTATTTTAATCGCAATTACGATTATGGCTTGCAACGATTACGAAAACAACGTAATCGAAATATAACTATTATTTTTTTATTATTTTTTTTTATTTTTTTTATTTATTGGTTTTTTAGTTGAGTTATACTTAAAGTTCAGGGTAATCAACTGTTAAAAACATACTGACCAATAAATTGATGTTTTCAAAGTAAATGGATAATCGTTTTTAATAATCGTGATATCAATTATTGACCCAAATAATCGAGATTATGATTTTTGCCATATTCGAGCAGCACTAGTTTCTAGCAAAACATTTTTAAGAGATGACACGAGCAGCCCTACCAGCATTTGCCATGGTGGCCAAAACATTTTTATTTGGTCTTAAATTGTAGTTCAACATTTATTTCCTGTTACTTCTGGACCATGACGGTGGGCCAGCCTTTAATGTTTAACTGAGTGGAATGTGTTGAATATGTTTTACCAAAATGTTGGCTATATGTTGAGGAGTTTTCAGGTTGTGACAGTGCACTGCAACATGTTTGTTGACCTTGTTTATTGGTATTTATTATTTTGATATTATTTATTTAAATGTCGATATGAATGTATAATTTATTTTATTTTGTATTGGTTTTTTTCAGTTGATTACCCTGAGCGTATAATTCAACAGTTAAAAAGTTCAAATTATTATTTGTTTTAAAAGTACAATAATGGATGTTTTTCAAAGACAATGAATAATCACATTTAATAATCGCAATTACAATTATTGCCCCAAATAATCGAGATTATGATTTTTGCCATAATCGAGCAGCCCTACCCGTTATCATGTTTTTTGACTGTGGTCAGGTAAATCAGAATGATAACAGAATGTGCCCGCAGCCCTCCTGATATACCCCTCAGACAATTACCATCTTTATATGGTGTTGTGGTTTAGATACCCCCAGCGCCCTGAAAGCTGTGTGGTCAGGGTTAACTGTTTCTGACAGGGTCACCCAGGGCTATTTGTTCCAGGTGAGGGTAGTAAAACCTTTAAAGGAGAGCCAGTTAGGAAGAAAGCTACCACCCCTGTATTAAGGACACCGGGGGTTCATCCTTTAACCAGGCACCGGGGTCTACGCTCACTGGATCATCTAAGCAGGGTTCGTACGGTCATTGAAAACCTGGAAAAGTCATGGAAATTCTAAATGCAAATTCCAGGCCCTGAAAAAGTTATGGAAAACAATATTTTTCCCAAAGTGTTGGAAAAGTCATGGAAATGTAACTAAAATTGCGTCAAATACAATTTACATTTTATCTAATCGCCGAAATAATCTGCGGTCGCGAGCTGTTATGTGACATGACGCGCATGGTGGTTATTTTTTTTAATATATGAAGCACGAGCTTGTGTGCTCGAGTCTTCCTGCCTATCGGCTGAACTCTGCTGCTCCGCGATGAAGGTCTAACTCCAGCAGCTACATTACCTACGGGTGCGTTCGTTAACAGTAACGGCCCGTCCACACAGCAGCGTTAAAAAAATCTTCCAACGCTTCTGCCATTCACTTGAATGGGGTGACGTCACGTTGCCTCGCTTTTCGCCGAACTGCATTGTGGGGAAGCAAAGCGAAGATTTCCAGGATTTTCAGGATTTCAGGATTCAAAAGTTGAGCAAATGTTCAACTTTTGAAGCTGAGGTGGAAGTGTCAGCCAATCAAAATCCCGTTTATGCAAATCTGACAGTACAAGCGCTAGCCAATCAAACCGCGTGCAAGCTGGAGAGCCAGACCGCAGTTCATTTCCTCATATTCCAAACGAGAAATTACGGTAGCAAATCACCCGGTTCTTTACGACCAGAACTATTAACGGGATACAAACCGGAGGAACCAGGCATGGAGGGAGGTGGCAGAGACAGTGGGTGAAATTGGTATAGGGTTTCGTCTGTTTGGGGAGTTTATATATATATTCTTTCACACAACAGCGACGTCACGAGCTACCCACAATGCAACGCGCGCCATATATCTATATAGAAATACGCCATTTTCCTGGAGGTGCTAATATCCTGGAGGTGCTAATATAAACAGCTAGGTAATGTATCCAGGCAGAGCGCACTAGGTTTTTTTTCTGAATTAACGACCGAAGAAAATCGCTGCATGTCTTCGGATTACATCTCTGGACTTGAGGGGTGTGCTTTAGGTCGTTACCAGCGTAAACTAGAGCTGTGTGGGTTGTCCGATTGCCTTTACAGACTGCCTGCAGATGTATGGAAAAAAACGGCTCTCGAAAGTGGCCTTCGGTCGATTTTGGCTGCAATCTACGTCTATCTTCTAGAAACACCAGGTGAATACCCCACTTGTCACAATAATATTATCATGCCAATGCATATATGTGGTATTTTAGAGTTGACCAGATATTGATTAAGGCAATAGACTATGATATTCTGCTTGCACCTCGTGTGAAATGGTGGATACCGGAAGTACGGTGTCGCCCTCGGCCCAAAACCCGTATGTGTGTGTGAAAGAATTGCTTGCTCGCATAAATTCCCCGGGGTTTTTTGCTTTGTATGTCGGGGGCGGGAGATTCTTGTGATTGGTTGTTGGTCGCGTTGCTCGCAAAAAATCCCCAAGCTTTCAGACACGCCCACCTCCAAGATTTTCAAGATTTTGCCAAAGCCGCTGTGTGGACGGGCCGTGCTGTGACACAGACTGGACCGCTGGTGAACAGCTGTTAGAACGGGCCGTTCAGAGCTCCCTGTCGGAGCGGCAGAGCGTGATGTAAACTGAAGGTTTTTCTGTCGCAATATTATCGTTGAGCTGGCTAACTAGCATACATTGTCACTATCTGCTAACGTTAGCTTTAGTCTTCGTTTTCTAATAGTTTTTTTCATAGGCTATAAACAGAGGTGGTATAAGTATAGATATTGTACTGTGGAGTAAAAGTAGAAGTACACAGATCTTGTACTTTAGTAAAAGTAGAAGTACACAGATCTTGTACTTCAGTAAAAGTAGAAGTACTCAGATATTGTACTTGAGTAAAAGTAGAAGTATTCAGATCTTGTACTTTAGTAAAGTAGAAGTACTCAGATATTGTACTGGAGTAAAAGTAGAAGTACACAGATCTTGTACTTTAGTAAAAGTAGAAGTATTCAGATCTTGTACTTGATTAAAAGTAGAAGTACTCAGAACTTGTCATTGATTAAAAGTAGAAGTACACAGATCTTGTACTTTAGTAAAAGTAGAAGTACTCAGATATTGTACTTGATTAAAAGTAGAAGTACTCAGATCTTGTACTTGAGTAATAGTAGAAGTATTCAGATCTTGTACTTTAGTAAAAGTAGAAGTACTCAGATATTGTACTTCAGTAAAAGTAGAAGTACTCAGATATTGTACTTGAGTAAAAGTAGAAGTATTCAGATCTTGTACTTTAGTAAAAGTAGAAGTACTCAGATATTGTACTGGAGTAAAAGTAGAAGTACACAGATCTTGTACTTTAGTAAAAGTAGAAGTACTCAGATCTTGTACTTGAGTAAAAGTAGAAGTACCAGAGTGTAGGAATACTCCGTTACAGTAAAAGTCCTGCATTCAAAATGTTCCTCAAGTGAAAGTAGAAAAGTATTCTCATCAAAATATAGTGAAAGTAGCGACAGTGAAAGTAGTCATTGTGCAGATTGGTCCATTTCAGAATAATATATATGATATGTTTTATAATGATTGATCATGAAAGTGTTCTCAAAGCTGGTAAAGGTGCAGCTAGTTTGAATGGCTTTGTATACTGCAGGGTAGCTGGTGGATTTACTCCAGGTGGAACTAAAGTCTGATTTAACTTGATTATCTTTCACATCATTCATCATCTGTGAAGTAACTAAAGGTATTAAATACCATTTACCTCTGAACTGTAGAGGAGGAGAATAACAAAGTAGCAAAACATTGAAATACTTAATAAAGTACAAGTATCTCAAAATTGTACCCAAGTATAGTACTTGTTGAGTTTATGAACTTAGTTACTTTACACCAGATGCCATAAAGATAGAAAGACTACGCCTTGCACAGAGGCATGAAAATACATTTTCAAAATGCTCAACAGTGCTGCCAAAATTATAAACTGACTGCTCCACAATTAAAATAAATGCTTTTATATATTTCTATTAGATGTGACTCATTTCTGTTATTATTAACACCGATGCTTTAGTTGTTGTGACTGCTAAAATCCTCTGTTATTCTTAATTTTAAAGCCGATATTCCGTGGGGGGGTCAGGGGGCTCGGATCCTTGTCACCTTTTTCATAGCTGAGTTTGCATCCCTGACTACAGTTGCTTTAGCCTGTAAGCTATAGTAAGCCCACTATTTGATTTGTTTTAGATAGGCACAACATGTTTCATATGCAGACCTTATTTTCCTGTTCCATGTTCAAATAAACCATTTTCAGTGGTACCGCTGAGAAAGATACATTTTGTTCGGTCATGGAAAATTAAGTAAAGATCATGGAGAAGTCATTGAAAAGTCATTGAAAATCATTGGTGAAAAAGTGTATGAACCCTGTCTAAGGGTCTATCAATGCCAGTTGGGTCTTGGTGAAGGAGAGGAACATGGCATGCTCACTTCAGGCTAGACAAACCACACATTTGGGCTCAGCTCTACAACAGCTCTTGAAAGAAACAATTGGATAGAGATTTGACTCTCTCTTCTTTCCTGTCCTTGCCCCGGTCACCTTTGAGGTTCATTGAGATGAAAGCCGTCACTTTACTTTCTGCTGATGCAAAGACAAGGGCCCTTTCTCATTTCTCTAACTCCCCTCCTCGACTCCCATCCTCGACTCCCATCCTTGATACTTAGTCCCGCCCACAGGAGATGCGAGCGGAGGAGTCGAGGAGGGGAACCGAGGAGAGAGGAGGGGAAGCAGCAGGCAGTTAGAGAAATGAGAACTCCTCTCCTCTGAGCGGTCATTTTAAAGAGACGTACTTTAATGATGACAGGAGGCACAGCAGCCCTCTGTCTGATGGACAGATGTGTTCATGACGACTTATATATTTACTTTTAATTCATTCACAGTGCGGTATAATGAGACAATAACAGGCTACAGATGCGGACACACACACATATATATATATGTATATTTTTATATAAATATATACAATTTCAGAATCAAACAGAGCACTCTCATAATAACGTACCACTATCAGAGACTGGATATATCCCCCCCCCCTATCTGGTCGCTACAATGAGGAAAATAAATTACAGGCCAAAAGTTTTATTTACAAGTATTAAAAGTAAGCAGAGGACACCAAACCAACTGAGATCTGTCTGTCCGCTGCATCTACGCACACACTGTACCACACGCACCTACAGCTCCTAAATCAGGCTACAGCCGTTGTGTATTTTATTATGTGAAGCACTAAATGGTTTTAGAAAAATATCGACTCTTTGTTTGTAGATATCTACTAAACTAAAGCAAATAAAGAGAGAAGGCCTGTTATACTGAGTGATATATATTATACACACTGCTCTGCTTTCTGCACGGACCTCACAGCTGTTCTCTCTGGAAACATCGCGTCGTGATGAAAGCAGTTAATAAAATAATATCCAGGGGATGCATGCAGAGCTGTCATTGGCTGAGATAAGTCCGGCCGTGCGTCACGACTCTTTGAAACATCTCTGTTCCCGGAAATGCATCCGCGAAGGAGCCGTGGAGGACCCATCAGTGTATCCTTGGTTAGAGCTCCTCCAGAGAGCCTCCTCGACGCTCGATCCTCGGTCCTCGAAGTGCATTTAGAGAAATGAGATGTCCTTCAACATGGCGCGCAGAAATTCATTTCCGGGTCACTACCAGAGGACCGAGGAGTCGAGGAGGGGGATTTGATGAAATGAGAAAGGGCCCAAGAGTTCATTGTGTTGTTGAGGCCGGCGGGCCTAAAGGTCACCGGGTACAAAATCAACTGCCCTCTTCAGTTGCAATACAAAACCAATTTGAGAGTACTTACCAAGAAAAAATCCCCTCTGCCGCTTTTCCTCTCTCAGCTACTGCTGTTATGCTCTATACAGGAGCAGAAGCCAAAGTCACACCCATATACCCATAAATATATACTGTATATATGTGGGGGAGTGTCATTGCTTCCGGGGTGTGAGGCTGGACATGTCCAGACTTGCCTCAGATGGTAAGCCTAAACAAATCTGGGGGCTCCTGTACTTTTCCATTGAGTCAGGGACCTCCTGTGTACAACCTGCTGTGAGTGAAGATAGTGATTAACTGTTGGGAAAGTCCTGAATGTCCTCTTCCAACATGAGAGTAACGTGATAACAAAGGTATCCCAACTGTAGCTGTGTTCATGACAGGATGTGTGATTACCTAGAAGAGCATCAGGACTGTTTTAGGCATATGATAGCTATGTGATTAACATGATGATTCAGCCTCTATGGAGAGAGACATCAAGCATGCTCATTTCTGAGGTGGAGCTAATCTGAAGTAAACATTGAAGACTGCTTTCTATTCCTCCATCTTGTGACTGTGTAACTCCCTCTCTTGGATATCAGCATGTGAAGGACACTGTTCAGGAACTAGTTGATGCTCTGTATGTGATGACTCCTTCCATTCTGGAGAGGATCACAGATACATGGATCCTGAGATTAAAGACCAAGCCGTTGACGAGTGATATTTTTCCTAACATAAACTATAACAGACCTTAAACTCCCTCTATCAATTTTCCAAACCGTTTACATTTTGTATATACTGTGAGTATAGAAAAACGTGAAAATAATGGATTTTTTATTGTGGGTTATACAAAATTACATTTGATTATATTAACTTTCGTTTAAATTATTTAACTCAATATGGAAACCTGTGTCTTGACCTCTTGAAGTCTTTAGGTGGGATCTCTGGGTCAGGGCACCGGCTGGGGATACATACACAATCTGGAAGACTGTAGGTTATTGGTATGCTCTAAATATCAGAGTAGCTCATTGCTCAGCCTTTCTGAGATTGCTCATGCAGAAGTGTTCATACATTCAGAAGGACCGTTGTAGATTCCATTCAAGTCCTTAAAAAGGGCCCAGTGCTTACATTTGCAAGGAGGTGTCAGTGGAGTTTGCCCAACCACCTGTCTTCTGGAAGGAAGGGAAGGCTTTTTACTCTGTGGATGTTAGGCTACTATGCTACTATGCTGTAGTAAAGCCATCCAATACTTTAATAACTGGAATTAAAGCTTTGTTTATACATCCTCAGCAGGGGTTGGGCTCTACCAGGGTTATACCTCAGATCCAAGCAGCAAAGGTTTAGGGCCATGGTTCTCTACTGTTAATCAGAATACTCACTCAGCGTTGGATATGAATTGTTGTCAAGGACAATATTTTTGGCTTGCTACATATGATTATGCAACAAGATACAGGGTCTTGATCGTTGAAAAATAATCTACTATTGTGTTAAATTAGGAGGACGTATTTAGACACATGTTGTTTGTAGTATCTCCTCTAATTTTCCTTTTTGCTTCATTCAGAGATTGTTTCTGAGTGCCAAGCTAAACTCAAATCACACCTGAGGAAAACGTTTGAATTCATGCCTGAGAAAATCACAAAAAAAGGAAATGTAAACCCCCTGAATGAAATCTACACCGAGATCTCCATCACAGAGGGGGGGTCTGCAGAGGTCAACAAGGAACATGAGGTCCAACAAATTGAAATGGCATCCAGGAAACCAGACAGACCAGAAACAACCATCAGACAAGAAGACCTCTTTAAAGCCTCACCTGGAAGAGATGCACCAATCAGAGTGCTGACAAAGGGAGTGGCTGGCATCGGGAAAACAGTGTTAACACAGAAGTTCACTCTGGACTGGGCTGAAGGCGAAGCCAACCAGGACATCCAGTTCATATTTCCATTACCGTTCAGAGAGCTGAATGTGGTGAGAGAGAACAAGTTCAGCTTGGTGGAACTTGTTCATCACTTCTTCTCTGAAACCAGAGACGCAGGAATCTGCAGGTTTGATCAGTTCTCGGTTGTGTTCATCTTTGACGGTCTGGATGAGTGTCGACTTCCTCTGGACTTCCACAACACTGAGATCCTGACTGATGTTACAGAGTCCACCTCAGTGAATGTGCTGCTGACAAACCTCATCAGGGGGAAGCTGCTTCCCTCTGCTCGCCTCTGGATAACCACACGACCTGCAGCAGCCAATCAGATCCCTCCTGAGTTTGTGGACATGGTGACAGAGGTCCGAGGGTTCACTGACCCACAGAAGGAGGAGTACTTCAGGAAGAGATTCAAAGATCAGGAGCAGGCCGGCACCATCATCTCCCACATCAAGACCTCGCGAAGCCTCCACATCATGTGCCACATCCCACTCTTCTGCTGGATCTCTGCTTCAGTTCTGGAGGACATGTTGAAAACCGGAGAGGGAGGAGAGCTGCCCAAGACCCTGACTGAGATGTACATCCACTTCCTGGTGGTTCAGTCCAAAGTCAAGAACGTCAAGTATCATGGAAGAGCTGACACAGATTCACACTGGAGTCCAGAGACCAGGCAGATGATGGAGTCTCTCGAAAAACTGGCTTTTGAGCAGCTGCAGAAAGGCAACCTGATCTTCGATGAGTCCGACCTGACAGAGTGCGGCATCGATATCACAGCAGCCTCAGTGTACTCAGGAGTGTTCACACAGGTCTTTAGAGAGGTGAGAGGGACGTACACAAACAAGGTGTTCTGCTTCGTCCATCTGAGCGTTCAGGAGTTTCTGGCTGCTCTTCATGTCCATCTGATCTTCATCAACTCTGGAGTCAACCTGCTGTCAGAAGAACCAACAACCTCCCAGGAGTCTGAAGTCAAACCTACACTAACAAATCTCTACCAGAGTGCTGTGGACCAGGCCTTACAGAGTCCAAACGGACACCTGGACTTGTTCCTCCGCTTCCTCCTGGGTCTTTCGCTGCAGACCAATCAGAAACTCCTACGAGGCCTGCTGACAGAGACAGGAAGTAGCTATCAGACCAATAAGGAAACAGTCCGGTACATCAAGAAGAAGATGGATGAGGATCTGTCTGCAGAGAGAAGCATCAACCTGTTCCACTGTCTGAATGAACTGAATCATCATTCTCTAGTGCAGATCATCCAATATTACCTGAGATTAAGACAACTCTCTGAACATCTGTCTCCTGCTCAGTGGGCAGTGTTGGTCTTCATCGTACTGTCATCAGAAGAAGATCTGGACGTGTTTGACCTGAATAAATACTGTGCTTCAGAGAAGGCTCTTCTGAGGCTGCTGCCAGTGGTCAAAGCCACCAGGAAAGCTCTGTAGGTGAACAAACAACTATCCAGATGAAATGTTTTTCTTATTAACTCAGCAACAAAAAACAGTTTGTAATAAGTTTCTGATTCCTCCTCAGACTGAGTGGCTGTAAGCTGTCAGAGAGAAGCTGTGAAGCTCTGTCCTCAGTCCTCAACTCCCAGTCCTCTAGTCTGAGAGAGCTGGACCTGAGTAACAACAACCTGCAGGATTCAGGAGTGAAGCTGCTGTGTGCTGGACTGCAGAGTCCACACTGTACTCTGGAAACCCTCAGGTTAGTGTAGAGCTGTTCAGCTTTTTGTCTGAGAGAGCTGAGTTACAATGCAAGTTATATTTTGAAACTTTTTTGTCTGTGTGTGTTTTGTGTGTGTTCAGTCTGTCAGGTTGTCTGGTCACAAAGGAAGGCTGTGTTCCTCTGGCTTCAGCTCTGAGCTCCAACCCCTCCCATCTGAGAGATCTGGACCTGAGTAACAACGACCTGGAGGATTCAGGAGTGAAGCTGCTTTGTGCTGGACTAGAGAGTCCACACTGTGAACTGGAAACTCTCAGGTTAGTGTAGAGCTGTTCAGCTTTTTGTCTGAGAGAGCTGAGTTACAATGCAAGTTATATTTTGAAACTTTTTTGTGTGTGTGTGTGTGTGTGTGTGTGTGTGTGTGTGTGTGTGTGTGTGTGTGTGTGTGTGTGTGTGTGTGTGTGTGTGTGTGTGTGTGTGTGTGTGTGTGTGTGTGTGTGTGTGTGTGTGTGTGTGTGTGTGTGTGTGTGTGTGTGTGTGTGTGTGTGTGTGTGTGTGTGTGTGTGTGTGTGTGTGTGTGTGTGTGTGTGTGTGTGTGTGTGTGTGCAGTCTGTCAGGCTGTCTGGTCACAGAGGAAGGCTGTGTTTCTCTGGCTTCAGCTCTGAGATCCAACCCCTCCAACCTGAGAGAGCTGGACCTGAGCTACAATCATCCAGGAGACTCAGGAGCGAAGCTGCTGTCTGTTGGACTGGAGGATCCACTCTGGAGACTGGAGACACTCAGGTATAGACAGACGGACGGACAGACGGACGGACAGACGGACGGACGGACGGACAGACAGGCTGTGTCTCCATCACTAACTGAAGGACTCTGCTTCGTGTAATGGTGGATATGAGTGAAGGTGTATGAAGTTGATTCTGTGTTTCTTCCTGCAGGATGGACCATGGTGGACCTCAGTGGTTGAAACCTGGTCTGAGGAAGTGTGAGTGTGTTTTCAGTTTGATTCATGAGAGCTGCATATGTTACACTGCACATGAGATCCACAAACACAACAAAGTGAACACAGTGATCCAACAGAACCAATAGAAATACATTTCTTAACAGAAAGCTCACTTCTTCTCCCTGTCGTTAAAGAAATAAATAAAACCTGCTCCTTTCACAAGAAACCCAGTCTGCTCTTTCTACAGTATACGTGTTGGTAGCACCAGTGATTTGAACTCATCAGGTTTCCACCTGCTGCATTTAAAGAAGAAGACTGAAGTAACTTCTTTGAGCTCCAGGAAAAGTGCTTTATAAATACCATGAATTGTATTATTGGTCTAAATCAGGGGTGCCCACACTTTTCAGCTTGAGAGCTACTTTTAAAATGACCAAGCCCAAAAGATCTACCTACAGGGCCGCCCCTGCCCAATCTGTGTCACGAGCACGGGGGGGTGCTAGTGGACTAAACGGCAGATAAACTGTGGCACGCTTACACTAATTGCGCCGCATAAGCGCATAATAGTGCGCCGCATTTGTGCTTCAGATGAGGAGGTGAGGCCCCCTCATAACGGCATGAACCTGTATGGCACAATACAACTCAGACTGGCTTACCTGTACGTCAATCAAGTGGCAAATGCCATAGTAAGGATGGATGATAGACTTCCTTTTTTTTTCTTCAATGCCATGCGATCTACCCACACTACCTTTGCGATCGACGTATTGGGCACCCCTGGTCTAAATGAAAACCAAAAAGCAGATTCAGGCAGCTCGTCTACCTGTTTCAAGTATTGTGCTACACATAAATATAATTTAAAACATTTTCCTGTAAAAGCTTCTTCATATTAGATGTGGACTCTTTGGATAGTGACAGTATATCAACAGCTGGACGCTGATGCTGTTTCCCTTTTCTTGTTCTTTATTTTACAACATTAAGTATTAGATCTGAGTTCATTGAGTGATCACCTACTGATGAAGATCAGGTTGTTAGAGATCATTCACAGTGAATATGAGACGTCATTTTGAAGGATTTCCTGTCAGTGATTGTCAGTAAAGTTGTTAATAAATGAACTAGGGCTGTCCCGAATACCATTTTTCAGGCTCCGGATATTCGGTATTAATCAGCAGCGAATATTCGGATATTCGCTGTGCGCGCGCGGGGGACTTCGGTTTGCGTTCACACAGGCACAATTCAAACGGACTATAAACTTTAAACACAAGTCATGTGCACAGAAATGCTGCTCAACAATTGGTCAGATATTAAGGGTAAAAAGGCAAATCCCGGCAATTTCTACCGTAGCCTCCGCCATGGAGCATCGGCAGGTTACATGCTGCTGTTAATCTGGAGATCAACAGACTCTAGCAACGGCGCATACGATTATACAATCAGACAACGTGCGATAACAAACATAACCCATATGAGAGACGTTCTGCAGTAAAGAGGGACGTTTCACTGACGACAGGTGGCTCTGACTTTTATGTATAGTTGACGAAGCATTTTTACTTTACACAACACTGTTCAACACTTCATTCTGCTTCACTCTTTCGCTAAAGATTTTGAAGACATCAGCGTTCTTGTGACTCGTAAATACTACGCTTCCTATGTTCTGGTGCAGACTGCGTTCACACCAGCGATGAACCACCTGTTTTAAGCGGACCGGCTGTTTAGTTCACTTCAGAGGTCTCGGACTGCGTTCACACCGACCCAAACGAACCGCATCAAGCGGGTAAACGCACCAGGGTTCCATTCAACCGGACAATACAAGGCTGGTGTGAACGTGACCTATGTCTATAACGTTTTTTAAAAAAGAAGAAGAATAACCAAATTGAAAACCGAATAGTAGGCCAAAAACCGAATATTCGGATATTCGAGTACAGCCCTAAAATGAACAGATGATAACATGCAGCTGTGTTCTCTCCATCAGATGCCTGTGAACTGGAGCTGGACCCAAACACAGCTCACAAGGGACTCAAACTGTCCGAAGACAACAGGAAGGTGACATTTGAGGAGGAGTGGCCATATCCTGTTCATCCAGGGAGGTTTGAGAAGGAGCTTCAGCTGATGTGTAGAGAAGCTCTGACTGGTCGCTGTTACTGGGAGGTCGAGTATAGAGGAGAGGTTTATATATCAGTGACTTACAGAGGAGACAGAGAGGACTGTAGGTGTGGAGGGAATGATAAGTCCTGGAGTCTGGAGTGCTCTGGTGATCATGGTTATTACTCTGTCAGTGATGGTTACTCTGTCTGTCACAATAACATAAGAACAAGCTTCTCCTCCTCCTCCCTCTTAGCCTCCCGCTACCCCCCCCTCTGGTAGAGCAGCAGTGTATCTGGATCATCCTGCTGGCTCTCTCTCCTTCTACAGAGTCTCCTCTAGAGACAGACTGATCCACCTCCACACCTTCAGAACCACATTCACTGAACCTCTCTATGCTGGGTTTGGGTTTGGGTTTGAGTTGTTGACTGGGCCTGGGTACAGTTCTCTTCCTTTTTCAGTGTCTCTGTGTCCTCTGAAGGGCTGAGAGTCTCTCTTGTGGACAGAAACTGACTGCAGATCAGCTGCTGAAGTCAGCTCGGTGTGTTCACCATCACACACACACACACACACACACACACACACACACACACGCACACACACACACACATCTGTCTCTGACACTAAATGACATATTTTATGTCTAATAATATGAAACACAATTGTTGGTAATTTCTTCAATGTTTGGATTATACTGCAATGTAATGAGAGTGTTACTGTCTCATATCTTCTTATGTTTCTAAATACTTTCAATAAAATATTTTCTTTTCATTCAGGCACTTTTGTCTTTCCTACGTTTCGTTAAGTTTAGTTATGAAGCACATTTAAAAACAGCACAGTTTGACTAAAGAGCTTTACAAAAAGATAAGTTATAGAAAAGAGAAGAACAGTACTAAACTCTCCATGGACTAAAGTTCAATTCTGTCTTTTAAGAATAAGCTATGCATCAAACTCTCATTTGTTCTGTGTAATCAGAGACTGTTACTCTAATTGTACTGAAGAGTAAATGGTGGTAAGGAAGTCCGTGTTCATATCCTGGCCCTAACATGGATGTTCAACCTCCAACATGAATTTGGGAGCCAGCCAGGAGGGACGGGACTCTGGGACCTGCATGAAGGACAGCTCGCACTAATGTAACACGGGTAAATTGTCAGGGTTAGGCAAGAGTGCGGACCCAAACGCAGTACAAACAGGGAGGTAAATAAAGGCAAGCTTTTGTTTAAAGGTCCCATGTCATGCTTTTCCGGTTATTACCCGTCCCCTTGTGTGTTATGAAGGTTTTTATGCATGTAAACGGTCTGCAGAGTCAAAACCCTCAAAGTACACCTTGTAGCCTCGTTGGAGATACGTCCCTGTAGGGCTGTGCAATTAATCGTATTTTAATCGCGATTACGATTATGGCTTGCGACGATTAGGAAAACAGCATAATTGACAAAATACGATTATTTTGCTGGGTGCGCTTTCGCCCCTCCCTAAAAGCCCACTCGGCCACGTGGGAGTGACATGTGTTGTGAGTGTTCAGCGCGAGCGAAGATGTCAGAACAAGAGCAGCAACTAGTTAAAAAGAAGGGTCGCGGGGAGATTCCCAGTCGATCGCGAGATGTGTCTAAAAATAGAACAACAATATTCTGTTTTATCGTTAATGTTCCCGTGCCAGAATAATGCACTTGAACGCATCAAAGCTTTGTGATTGGCCGGCCTCACCCCATGTGTCCGGGCGTGGCTGGTCGGCAGTGCACTAGTTCGCTGACGTTGTCCGTGTCAACAGCATGCATGGTCAACAGGAGTGACACACACAAGACCGCAATTATGGCAGAAGCAAAAAAGCCCAAAATATATAATTTTCACTCCAAGAGGGAGGATGATTATTTTTGTATCTATTCCAATTCAAAGTCCATCTGTCTCATCTGCAATGCGAGCGTGGCTTTATCGAAGAAGGGTAATTTAGGAGCGGCATTTCAAAACAGTGCACAAACGCTACGAGACGGAATTCCCTCCTAATTAGTGCGAATGCTGTTTACAGCATTCCACTATAGTGCTTCAAATCTTTATTCTTCCCCTTATTATTATTTCAGCCAATACTTTGGCTCTCCATAACTTCAGCTTATTTTCAGCTACAGAAACCATTCAAATATTAAACTATTCAGCCTGTTCAGGAATCGATGGGAAACCTTCAACTTTTTCAAAATATGTTATACTTTTTGAAATATTCAGCTTTTTAAGCTCTTTTTTTAACATTGAAGTCAATGGGAAGAGCCTTCAAATCAGCCAATACTTTAGCTCTCCATAACTTCAGCTTACTTTCGGCTACAGAAACCATTCAAATATTAAACTATTCAGCCTGTTCAGGAATCGATGGGAAACCTTCAACTTTTTCAAAATATTTCATACTTTTTGAAATATTCAGCTTTTTAAACTCTTTTTTTAACATTGAAGTCAATGGGAAGAGCCTTCAAATCAGCCAATACTTTAGCTCTCCATAACTTCAGCTTACTTTCGGCTACAGAAACCATTCAAATATTAAACTATTCAGCCTGTTCAGGAATCGATGGGAAACCTTCAACTTTTTCAAAATATTTCATACTTTTTGAAATATTCAGCTTTTTAAACTCTTTTTTTAACATTGAAGTCAATGGGAGATGCCTTCAAATCCTGTTTTCCTACACTTTGCGCCAAATGCATCTCCTTCCACATAATTTCAGCCAGACACTTCATTCCAACTTTCAAATGATCACAATACCTTCAGCTATAAAACTTGTATAAAATAATTTTGATATCTTTTCAACTTTTTGAGATATTGAATTTAGTTTGGAGCTTGGTAGAGAGGCATTTTTAAGATTTTTACATTAGAGTGGATGGAGCAGCTCATTAACTCTAGAGTGCTTTGATCTCAAAACAGAGTGCAGGACAGCTCAAAATTCTCCCCCAAAAATGTTTTAAACTTGCCATACTTCCCAAACCCTACACTCCTCAGACATATTTTTTCATGGAAAACGTAGGAAAACCTCTCCTAGCTTGTAAAATAAAGAAAAAATAAGAAAAAATATTAAAGAAAAGGCCTCTTGAGGGCATTAAGTGACAAAAACGTTCAACATTCCTCCATTGAAGCCCATTGTAATTTCAGGCAGATATTTCCTCACGGTAGCAGCCGCACACCTTTAGTTAAACTGCCAAAAAGGCCACATTATTAAACCAAAACTACACACCAATTACACTTCAGATACTCAACTTCCTTGACATGCTTCACGTTTTGAAATTTCACAGATATCTGTTACGGTTCTTCCACAAAACGTTCACATGTAAGAGGTTCATCTCTCATTCAGAACAATGGAAACCTGTGATCTCTACAGAGCTCGTTAGTTCAAATATAAACACCTGTGTAATGGAACACGATGATGTCATCACTCCAACTGACATGCAGCAGACTTCAACGGGACACACACACACACACACACACACACACACACACACACACACACACACACACACACACACACACACACACACAGTGTGCTAACAGTCCAGCTGTGAAGACGATTCGGGACAGTCTTGAGATTTTTTTGAGAACTTCACAGGTTTGATAACGATGCAGCCATCAATGCATCTAAGCGTAGTATGGGGTGTCATCAAATGTCGTCGCCATGGCGACAGACCACTCGCCATGAAACACGATGAGGCTGTAAATCCAATCGACACTGTCCAATCGTCCCCCAATCTTCACTTGTATATCACCGGTCCATGCCTCAACAGCTCTACGCCAAATCTGAGATCTCACCATATGCCGTTTCCATGGAAACGCATCCCTCGCCATAAAATATGATGTCACTATAACTCCTATGCAAATGTTCAAAGAGTGCTCAAACTTCACATGTGTGCTAACAGTCCAGCCGTGAAGACATATACGTGACAGTTTTGAGATTTCTTCAAATGCCCTCACACTCTCCAAAACCACAAAAGAAAAAGAAAAGATGTAATGCTACTTGAACTTATACTACTACGTACATCTGATATGTAACTCCTTCTGGCAACTTTCAGCTGCACAAACTATTCAACTATTAACTTATTCAGCTATTTCAGGACAATGAGGCTATACTTGTTGTTGTTTATACCTTTTTTAAACGTTTTGTTTGAAATATTAAGCTTCTTCACTATTTACTGCGAATGCTGTGCATTGAAATATCAAAGATATTCAGCTTTTTCAGCACATGATGGGAAACTTTACATTTTTCAAAAGTTGTTTTACTTGAAAAAAATATTTAGCTTTTTAAACTGTCTTTTTAGATGTTTAGCTTGTGTTTATGTTAAATCCCGTTTATAAAGCGTTTCATAGTTAGTTATCTATAGACCTCGACGTGCAATTTTCCGAGTCCCTTTGAACGCATCACCTGATCTTCTGTCTGAGACTAACTGTGCTGCGTCACTCTGCTCCGTGACTTTAATGGTGAGTGCTTGACATTACGTTTATTCCATACAAGTATAAATGGGTTCCGCAACATTTTAACAGTAGAAATACAGGTGTGGCGCTTTACATGGACATTGAAGTTGGCAGCTAAATGAGGAGGGAAAACGTTTTCATGGTCAACCAGAATCCAACTTGAATCGGTTGGTAACGGTAGCTAATGTTAGCTACGTGCTAACGCTAGCATAGCAGCTACAAACATTTGCCGGTCAATTATCAAAAAGCTACTTCTAAACAGGTCATTTTCGAACAACATATTTTTCAGCATCTCAAGTGACTCTCCTGACACTAATGTGGGAACTTTAATTTGTCAAAATGTTGTCAGAGTTATTATGAAGAACTAAAGTACTGTAAACGTAGTTTTAAAAGCATTTGCAGCTGTTGCTAAGTCACCGGTAGGTGGGGTGGGAGTCAATCACGTTCCTAATATAAATACTTGTGTATTACATTAAAATGAGTAATTGTATATGACACAAGCGCCCACGGACACCTGAGATAACAGCAATGTCCCCTCCATGTAACTTATGTTACATTTTGTAGTTCTAATTGCACATACGCACAGACGATATTTTATTTTAGACAATGAGGACATTGACATACATCCTCTTGACCCAAAACAAAATAACGAATGTATCAATTCCTGGGGAAGTAGGTTTGGTTAACGGTGTATATTCTGCCTTAAATCTTAGACCTAGATTCACACATGATTTATTTATTTTGTGACTATTTGTATGATTTATTAACATTTATTAAGAATAAGTGAAGCCACTTTGTAATAACACTTTGATAGTAAATAAGGAAACATACTTTGCTCCTGAAAATTACTTATAATTCAAATGGTGTGTAAGATTGTTTTATTGAGGTGAAATGTTAATCTGTCACTCCCTTCCCCCTCCCCCATATTCCCCCTGTCTCTAACTGCAGACTATTACTGTTGGCGACTTTGCAGACCTGAAGTGTAAGTACACACATAAATAATAAATGCAACATTTTGCAATAAAAACGAACAACTGTAATATGTGATTATAATATCTAAATATAAACCATATTATATTTAAATGCTTTAAGAAATGTATTTGAGGTTGCTGTCACTGAATTTGAAATTAAAGTCATTGTATGTAACAGAATTTACACATACTATAGTTTCTCAGTTAAGTCATATTCCAGAACGAATATATTACATAATTGCAACTGTTTGCAAGGATTTCATGGGAAAACATTTGTTGGGCGACTGTAAAGTCCTTTGGAGAATAATTATGAATGAACCGTTTTGAAACCCATGAACCTGAACTATATATTTACTATTCTCTGTGCTTTTGATAAGCAGCCACGTTTCATCTATCTTCAGATCCTGCTTCATTAACATTAGTCTATTCTCATTGATATTGTGTTTAATAATAATAATAATAATAATACATGGTATTGTTATAGTGCTTCTCAAGGTGCTCAAAGACGCTTTACATTAGATTACATGTTATCAGACACTTTCATAATATCTTTGTTGTGGACAATAAAAGTATAACAATATCATTGACAATAGACCACATCATCTAAGCCTCTTCCCCCCCTTCTCTTTCCTTTTTATAACTGCAGACCATCACTGTTGGGTGACTCCTTGCAGACTGTAGTTTAAGTAAGCAAATCAATTCTAATTTTGCAATCAATCAAGTTATATTTGATTGGTTTACAGTTAACAATAGATTCCCATCCTAAAAAAAGTAGTGTCAACAGTAATGACATCCATCAATTGCATTTGTATGGAATGCACTGTGAGGTGGTCATTATTCAGATTGACTATATTATTCGTATTTTTTAAATTAATAATTAGATTCAAATGATTGATTTAATAAATGATATTGCTTCTGCTAATACAAATGGCCACATCGCTGTGTTCAGACATCAAACTATTTCCATTGCAGTAATTCACAATCAATGTAATAACCAACAATATATGTCCTACACATTTTTTTATCCAGATTGAATTATCCTGTGATACAAAAATGTATTAAACCTTCATTATATTTGTACTTACTTTATTCAAAAAGATAACTAATAATTACAATGTATTTGTATTTGCCATTTTAATAACTGTCCTGTGTTTTAACATGCATGTGATTTTGTAATAAACAGTGGAAAGCAACATGGAAGTAAATGAGCAGCTTTTAACATTAGATAGGATTGCAATGCGCTGTGAGGTTGTTGTTTTTATGAACTCACACTAAACGTTTCTTTCTCTCTCCCTCAGTCTGCTGGCTCCTCCTTCCTGTCTCCAACTGCTGACTGACATAGTTGAGAACGTTGTGGTGACCTGACCGTAAGTTGAGACAGTGCATGACATTAAGAATTTTGGGAGATGGCCCTGTGGGCCATCTAAGCTAATTTACAGATGGCCCTGAGCCCAATAACGATTGCCCTGAAAAATGCGCGTGGACGAAATGACGCATGAAGGGTTTGGGGGGCCTCACCCTAGAACATGTAGATGTGTGCAGGTCTTAGATGCTGTCTGGTGCATTCTCTATACTGAATTATAAGATGAACCACCACAATATTATATTGTTCAATTTCTATTTTATTCTTCATTTCACTTGTTTGTTCTTGTTTGTGTTTGCTCGCTTGCATGCCCTGCAGCTATAAGAAATACTTAAGTTGTTGATCCATCTGATGAAGGCAAATGCCTTCCCAGATGGAGAAAAGTAGTAAACATTACATTCATTTATTAATGACAAAACAAACATTATTTACACTATTATGGCCCCTGTTAAAAATGTTTGTAATGTTATCTACTGTAAGTTGGTCCAACGAATGCCTCCTCATCCGGAAGCTGACCGAGCAGCAGTCGAGGAGCCGAGCGCATCCTCGAACCACACAAAATGGCGACGTCAGAGTTCCCGTTAGCCGGCAAATCTAAATCTCTACGGTCAAAATGTCCGGTCAAAATAATTTACCTTTAGCGCAATACCGCTTCAGTTGCGCCACTTATGTGACAGACAAAAGAGTATGTGACAGACAAGAATAGTCAATTCTAGTGTCTAACACTTAATGTGGAGAAAGAGATGTCCTGTATGGGTTGATTGTGCGTTGATCTGTTGGTAATGCCTCGGGGTTCCGGTAGGCATGTAAACAAATGCATAATGCTGCGTTATACTTTGTGGCCTCACCCGGTTGCATAGCGACGCTTATTGTTTAGGTGTCTTTTAATAAACAGGTAGTCCTATCATTAGCTAGAACTAGCTGGATCTGATCGATATGGACATAAACGGAGTGAAGTCTAATTTGACGGGAGAGAGAGATCAGCTGCTGCTGACGAGTCGACACGCAGCTCTGCATGATCACATGCAGCAGTGAGCGGAACAAAACACACACTTCAGGTTAGAATATCACACGTAGCTATTTTAATGACCTCTCAAACTACCTAAACTAGTTATAGATATGTTTAGTTTTACTGTCGGGTCTCTCATTACTGGATCCGCGAGCTGCATGATACTGGCATAATAGATTGCCCGATCGGGCAACCAGCAGGTGAGGCTTCATTGCCCGAGCTAAACACTAGATGGGCCTGGGCCATCGGGCAGTCGTTAATGTCGAGCCCTGTGAGATTTATGAATGGAAATGTATTACGGCCCGTCCACACAGTAGCTTTGAACAAATCTTGAAAATCTTGGAGCTGGGCGTGTCTGACAGCTTGGGGATTTTTTGCGAGCAACACGACCAACAACCAATCCCATGAATCTCCCGCCCCCGACATACAAAGCAAAAAACACCGGGGATTTTATGCGAGCAATATATATATATATAAACTCCCCAAACAGGTGAAAACCTACCAGTTTCACCCACTGTCTCTGCCACCTCCCTCCATGCCTGGTTCCTCCGGTTTGTATCCCGGTAAATAGTTCTGGTCGTAAAGAACCGGGTGATTTGCTACCGTAATTTCTCGTTTGGAATATGAGGAAATGAACTGCGGTCTGGTTCTCCCTGCTTGCACGCGGTTTGATTGGCTAGCGCTTCTACTGTCAGATTTGCATAAACGGGTTTGATTAGGCTGTCGCTTCCAGCTCAGCTTCAAAAGTTGAACATTGCTCAACTTTTGAATCCTGAACATCCTGGAAATCTTCGCTTCGCTCCCCCACAATGCAGTTGGGCGACCAGCGAGGCAAAGTGACGTCATCCCCATTCAAAGTCAATGGGCAGAGAAGCGTTGGAAGAATCGTCTAAAGCTGCTGTGTGGACGGGCCGTTAAATGCAGCCGTTTCTAAAACACAGTAAAGTGTCATTGTAGTTAAATAGAGCCTTCTAAACCAGCCCTGCCTAACTGTTACATTTCCTGGCATTTATTTGTTCACATATAAATGTGGTCAGTGTATAATGTCGTCATGTTTTTAGATTAGGTTCATGTGACCAGACACCTTCAATGACCTTTGAGCTGAATTTACTTAATTTGTTTTCTTAAATCAAAACTGCTGTATAATATTTTCTTTCTGTGTTACAGGTGGCCTGCTGTTGAGGAACTCTCTGGATTCTTTCTCTCTATCATAACTGCATTCTATCTTTCCTATACATTTTTGGCTATTCTATCTTTTGTGTCCCTCAAGTTACAAGTACTTGATCTCTGCCACCAGATTACAAGTAGTTGGTGGTTTTCTCTCTTGCTATCCCACTCTACAAGTGAAAAGTGCTTGATCTATTCAACTCTATCTATAAAAACGCTATAACGATTTCAGTCAATACTGACTTTTGAAAAAGCAAGTTGATTTGGACTACAACAGTCCTTGAGATATTAAAGCCTCTCAGGTTACAAGTACCTGATCACTCTGTTAAAAAGCATCTCTCAGAGCCTCTCTGCTCTTACTCTCTCTCTCTGTCAAGTGAAAAGTGCTTGAACTCAACATTTAATTGTATCATTGTCACAACACATAAATTGTTGTACTAAGTGGATAGTTACAAATATATATATATACAAAGGTTATACGTTTATAATTTCAATCCATATTTATTTTATAAGAACTGTTGTTACTGAATTGTGTTACCGTAAACATATCTAATTCCTAAAGGCTGTTTTAAGTCATATTTCAGTGTTGCTGTATATGTTTACTTAACTAGTTAACATAATAATACGATATTGTATTTATTTTCTCTGATAAACGTAAACACACCCCAGGTTCACACACTGTTCTGATCAGAAAATAAAGAGCTTTGTTATTGTCTAACCTGTCATATACTGCAATAAAACAACCAACAGAATTGTTTGATTCTTATATTTAAATATATTTAACCTGCAAATATTAAGGTGGTTTAGGAATTACACAGTAACATTTGTGGTATTGGAGAACAACAGCAATGCCGAAGAAGAATAAGAAGTCCCTAGTTCAAAGCCTGCGCTGGAAAAGATCTACAGATGTTCCCTGTGAAACAAGTGAAGCAGCAGAAGGTTCTGGTCCTCTGAGCAGTGGAGAAGTGAAGGTGTGTCCAGTGTCTCATGCTGTAAGTGTACAACAAGGAGGTCAACACCATGCATCCTGTGAACCACAGCCATCTTACGCTGACATGCTAAAGAGGAGACGTGACAGTGATGATCTTTGTGAGGCAGGCCCTTCTCATGCTAAACCGGTAAACCAGAGAGGTCAAGGTGATCAGCCATGTGTACCACCGCCAACCTATGCAGATATTTTGAAGAGTGGACGTGTCAGTAAAGCTGCTTGTGAGGCATGGCCTTCTCATGGAGACAGTGTAAACCTGGGAGATCAACTTTCTGAGAAACATGTCCCTGCATCGTGGAGCCAGGCTTCCCCTAAATATGGAAAATCCAGAAATAAGCAGTGCACCTGTAACTCACTAACATTTCTTGCATTCCTCCATGAGAATGAAAACATCACCAGAGCTGACCTTGAACTTGTTTTGGATAAAGGTAACGTGATGTATAATGAGGTGAGGAAAACTGTTAAACACATCCATTTGACCACTGATGAGCTCCCACAGGAAGTTCCTGCACGCAGGTTTACCCATTATGTGGACATGACAATGCTTTCCAGGTATGGCACGTTAGGAGAACCTTTACATCCGACTGTAGATAGCTTTCTGGACCTTGAGTCAGGACTGAGCTGCTTGTTAACTGAGGTGCAGTTTGCTTTGCTGCTCATGACACAGTTGTGTATTGCAGTATTTAGAACCAGAACAGGCCGGTATGGTTTCTTTGACCCACACTCCAGGACTAGTAAAGGTTTGCCCCTTTCCCCAGATTCACTCACTCCTGGTACTGCTGTCATGCTGACATTTACACATCTCAGTGACATGATTGACAGGCTCATGAAGTTTCACAGAATGTTGGGCACACAGTTAAACTGTACCTATGAGTTAAAGCCTGTGGAGTTTTACGACACAAACCCAGTCTCTCTGAATGAAGCTGTCCTGAACACAGACTGCAGACCTACAGCTGTCACTGTTGATGCACCTGCTCTGCTGGATGAAGCGGCTGATGAATCAAGCGCACCTACTCTAAGGACAAACACGCCCACTGATTGTTCTGAGCACATTATACCAGACAAGTCAACTCAAACCCCTGCTGTGAAACAACAAGAGGTCCATATCACGTCTCCATCACATGATGCTCCACAGGTTGAATCAAAGTTCACTGGTCTCAGTGATCCTTCTGAAAACGTATTTAAAGGAGTGTCTACCGAAATCCCTTTCATATCATCTGTGAGACAACAGGAGGTATTACCTAACCTAATCCCTAATGCTCAAACGGAACCAGAACCTTTAAGTGAATTCAGTTTCCTTCCATCTCATGATGATGCCTCTCACAGTGAGTCGTACATCTCTTCTCCATTAAATGCTGTTGCCAGTAATCTGTCTGATATTGTATTGCAGAACATCTCCTGTAAATTGTCAAAGCTTAGCAAAGAGCAAAGGCGAAAAATCAATAGAAGACTCACGGTCTCAAAAAAACCTAACAATAAGACTGAAAGCATTGCTAAAAGAAAACTGAAGCAAAGCCATGACTTTGCCAAGCGGTACAGAGATCATTTTGAGTTTCAGCAGAAAAGAAAACAATACATTAGCAACCATTACAAAAACAATCCTGATTTTAAAAGAAACAAAAGCAGTATTTAACCTCCCGTTACAAAAACAATCCTGATTTTAAAAAGAAACAAAAGCAGTATTTAACCTCCCGTTACAAAAACAATCCTGATTTTAAAAAGAAACAAAAGCAGTATTTAACCTCCCGTTACAAAAACAATCCTGATTTTAGAGAGAAACAAAAGCAGTATTTCACCTGCTGTTACAAAGACAATGATTTGAGACAGAAAAAAAACCAGCGCTTTACCGACTGCTACAGAGACAATGATGATTTAAGGCAGAGAAAGAAAGATAACTCTAATAATCGTTATGAACATGACAAACCATTCAGGGTAAGACACAGACAACTAATGAAAGACCGGTATAACAACAATCTTGCATATAAGATTATGCATAACATGCGATGTGCCATGAAAATAACAAAGAAATACAGAATGATAAATAAACAAACTCAAGAAAGTGACAACAGTTTGATTGAGGAGGCCATATCTGTTTTCAGATTACATAAAAAGGCTGGTCCCACTTATGTGTGCACCGTCTGTCATAAAGCATCTTTTCCAAACCAAGTGAGACCCTGTAATAGGTCAAATTACCTCACAAATCCAGTTGAGACAATGAGCAGGATATTGACATGTTGCCCTGTGATGGTGAGAAAGCAGACGAGCAGAGAGATGATGAAGAACAGGAAGGTGACATGCCTAATGGTGGATTTGCTCTGGAATCGTGCCTTCAGCCATGTGATGTTTCAGAGGACACATTGTGTTTTAATGAAGGAATCTACTCTGTTGCCCCAGCAGAAAGAAACAGTCCTGTTAGTTTTTTCAAAACACCTAAACTAGAGGCCATGGCTTTCCCTGTACAGTTTCCTACAGGTCAGAACACACTGGATGAAATGAGATGTATCAAACTAACACCCAGCAGTTATTTTATAGCACGTCTGTTCTGTGTTGATGATCGTTTTGCAAGAGACACAAACTACTTATATACACCTGGCTACTTCCAGCATGACAGTACAGTTAAGGAAAGGCAAGCATTTTACGAGAGATGGACGACCAATAATATCTGGTATGTTGCAAGATAAACGAGAGGTTGAGAAACTGATATGAAATAAAGATGCAGTGAGATTCATGCAGCCACTGAGAGGAACACCAGCCTATTGGGAGAAAACCACAAAAGATCTTTTTGCCATGATCAGACAGTTGGGAACTCCTACATTCTTCTGTACATTTTCTGCAGCTGAAATGCGTTGGCCTGAAGTGATTGAAGCAATAAAAAGGCAGCAAGGTGAAGATGTCGATTTTGAAGGACTTGACTGGTCAGCAAAGTGTGACATACTGCGAAGCAATCCTGTGACAACAATGCGCATGTTTGATAAGCGTGTTGAGGCGTTATTCAGAGATTTGATCTTATCTCCTGCACAACCCCTTGGAAAAGTTGTTGACTACTTTTCCAGAGTTGAGTTTCAGCACAGAGTTAGCCCACACATACACTGTCTCCTATGGGTAGAAGGTGCACCTGTGTTTGATGACGATGATGATGAAACTGTTGTGAATTGTGTGTCCAAGTACATCTCAGCTAAGCAGCCTGATCCACATACATAACCTGAACTGTACAATAAAGTTACAGAAGTGCAGATGCATAGCAAAAAACACTCAAAGACATGTTTCAAAAGCCTCAGCTCTGGATGCAGATTTGGATTTCCTAAACCACCTGTCTCAACCACAATGATAACGAGACCTGGAGAAAATGTTGATCCACAGCAAGTGGCTCTAGCAAAGGAAAAGCTCAAACCACTGAACTTGCTGTTGAAGGAACCTGAAACTGCTTCTCTCAGTTTGCTGCAGCTCTTGGCTAAATGCAATTTAACCCTCAGTGAGTACCAGCAATGCCTCAACACAATAAACAAATCCAGTGCCATAATACTGAAACGTGACCCAAAAGACTGCTGGGTAAATGGATATAATCCACATCTCCTTGAAGCCTGGGATGCAAATATTGATGTCAGTTATATTCTCAATGCATATTCATGCATCATTTATATCACTAGCTACATCACCAAAAAGGAATCAGGACTTTCTGAGTACCTCAAAACAGTCATTGAGAACTCCAGCAGAGACAATGTCAACGAGTGTGATGAGATGAGGGAAATCATGCAGGAATACTCAAAAAAGAGAGAGGTCAGTGCTCAGGAGTGTGTGACACATGCATGTGGCATTCACATGAAGAAGTGCTCACGCGGTGTAATATTCATACCGACAGATGACAACCCAGTGAAAATGAGTCATGTCACGCCTGGAGAACAAAACATCAGAATGTCCAAATGTGTGGATGACGTCTTTGACTGACAGATACAAAGCCAGACCTGAAACCCCAGAGTATGAGGAGATGTGTTTGGCTGATTTTGCCGCAACATGCAGAATTGTCTACGGCCAGCACACAAAAGGTAAACATGTTATGCCCCTCCTCAATGAGATGGGATTTGTGCAAAGGCGAAAAAACGAGAAGCCTGCCATCAACAGATGTTACCGCTGCTCACAGGAAAAGTACCCCGAGAAGTTTTATGGAACATTACTGAGACTGTATGTCCCTTACCGGTCAGACCAGGAACTGAAAAGACCCCATTTCCCCACCTATGAGTCCTTCTACACCAGTTGTTGGGTCCAACTACCAGGTTCTGAGCAGCCAGAGTATGTCAGACGCATTGTGAAACGAAACAGAAACAAATATGAGAAAAACAGTGAAGAGATTGAGAATGCAGTCGAGGAGTTTGAACAGAACAAAGGTTTGATTGATGAATGGTGTAATCTGGCTCCTGAAGCAGAAGTAGACAGGTTGGAATGTGTTGAAGAACTGGAGGCAAGACAGCCACTCAATGAAAATGAACAAGAGAATGTCCCAGAATACAGTAATCAGGCTAATGCTGTAACTGAAGCCAGAGCCATCAGAGACCCTGCAGTGTTACGCCAGATGTACCAGAATCTGAATCAGAAGCAAGCATGTGTGATCTATGCAGTGAGGAACTGGTGCCTGAATAAAGTCTGTGGCCTAAATCCAGAGCAGTTCTTCTTTTACATTAATGGAGGTGCTGGAACAGGCAAGTCACATCTCATCAAATGCATCTACTCAGAGGCATCTAAGATACTGTGCAAACTGCCGAGACGTGCCGAGGAGGCTGACATATCGAATCCAACTGTCCTGTTGACAGCTTTCACCGGAACTGGAGCCTTTAATATATCAGGCACAACACTGCACTCTCTCCTGAAGCTGCCGAGAAGCCTAAAGCCTCCATTTCAAGGTCTTGGTAACAAACTGGATGAAGTCAGATCTGAACTTCTAAATGCTAAATGATCATCATTGATGAAGTGTCCATGGTGTCAAAGCCTCTTTTCGCCTATGTGGATGCGAGACTGAAACAGATCAAAGGCAGTCAGAGACCCTTTGGAGGACTGTCAGTATTGGCTGTTGGAGACTTTTATCAGCTACCACCAGTGCGACAGGGAAAGGCCCTCTGTGTCTATGACCCATGTGGGATTGACCTTTGGCAGGAACACTTTCAGATGATCAATCTCACTGAGATCATGCGTCAGAAGGATGATGTTGCCTTTGCAGATATGTTGAACCGGATCCGTGTGAAAGTGAAATCTGACCAGTTGCCTGCAGCAGACAGAGCTTTGCTGTCACAGACTGTCACTGAACCTGCACTTTGTCCATCTGATGTCCTGCACATTTTTGCAACTAATAAACAAGTTGATTCCCACAACTCAGTGACATTAGCTCGTCTCTATTCCCACATCACCAAGATTGATGCAGACGTCTTCAGAAAGGACCGACAAACTGGAACAATGGCAAGACAGGCCAAACCATTTAAAGGAGGCAGAAGTGAGTTACCAGATTCAACCACCGTTGCTGAGGGTGCTCGTGTCATGCTTACCAGAAACATAGACGTGTCTCAAGGATTGGTGAATGGTTCCTTCGCTACACTGGCCAGGGTACTTACCTCTGAAGAACGTGGTTCTGCACATGTCACTATGCTTGGGCTCAAGATGGATGATGAAACAGCCGGAAGGAATTACCGCAATCGAGTACCGGGAGAACCTGATGATCTTGTGTACATTGAGAGAGCAGAGGAGAATCTGCAACAGAGAGGAGTGGTACGCAGACAGTTTCCACTTAAACTGGCCTATGCTTGTACAATTCACAAGGTTCAAGGTATGACGAGGACATCCGCTGTAGTCTCATTAAAAAACATCTTTGAACCTGGCATGGCTTATGTAGCTCTCAGTAGAGTGACCTCTCTCAGTGGACTGCACCTGCTGGATATGGATGTGAGTAAAATATATGCTAACCCAGAGATCACTGGAGCCATAGAGACCATGAGACAAGTGAACCTGGACGACATGATGCCTCTTCTTCACATCAAACAAACATTGAGCAGACCGGACACTCTGACCATTGTTCACCATAATACAGAGGGATTGCCATCTCATGTGAATGACATCAAGAGCCATCATGAACTGTGTCTTGCTGATGTTTTGTGTCTTACAGAAACTCACCTGCAAGGCTCCTTTGTTGCAGACAGTCTTCATTTGGTAGGCTACAATATGTTTAAACGCAACAGACACCTGTCCTACACACATTTCCCACAGATTGCTAACAGAGGTGGTGGTGGAGTTGCTGTATATATGAAGAACCACATTCAAGTGTGTGAAAAACAGTATGTGCATAATGTGACGGACCTTGAGTTTGTGGCTCTGAAGGTACAAGCCCCAGTGAGCGCACTGATTGCAGCTGTTTACAGACCTCCAGACTACAGCGTGAGATCCTTCCTCTCAAACCTGGGCAGCCTTTTGGACTCCTTGGAGATCATGGATTGTCACCCCATCATTGTCTGTGGCGATTTCAATGAGAACCTTTTATCCAACGCAGGTAAGCCAATTCTTGAGATGTTTCAGTCCAGGGGATATGCACAGCTCGTCACTGCCGCCACCACAGAGAAGAACACACTGCTCGACCTCATCTTCATCTCTCAACCACAGCGCTGTCTCCACTCAGGTGTGATGAATACCTACTACAGTTATCACAATCCTGTGTTCTGTGTCGTGTCCTCTAACAGTGTTTAATGATGTCAGGTGAGTTCTAGCTGGAACCTTTGGTAGGTAGAAACTATTTGAAGTATTGAAGTATCATGTTTTTAAAAGCTATAACATATTTTTTGCAATCTAAACTTTTCAGAGCACTGGACAATGTTATGCGTCATATCTGTTTTATGTCATCATGTTTTAGTAAGCTATAAAATGTTTTGGGCAATCTTAACTTTTCACAGTATTGGACAATATTATGGGTCATATCTTTTGAAGGTAAACATGTTTTTTTAGCTATATTTTCAGCATAACTTGGCCTGTGCATTTATCAGGCTGGGTTGGGCTCAGGGTTGATAAATGCACAGGCCACAATTGTGTCAGCAGCTATAAACATCATGCTGACACAAATAGCTGCTGACACCATTTTGCAAAAATGTATTTACATCAAAAAGTATATGTTCTATGTAACACGTACTTTCTGATGTACTTCTACCAGCTGAAATCCCACACTTATATCCCTCACAATTTCAAACGACATACTCTAGCGTAGGGTAGGGGGCCATGACTTTAGAGACTATAATTCCTGTAAGTTTCCTTTCCCCTGGACCAGACACAGTTTGTCAGTTTCCTCTGTGACGGCACCTGTCAGCTTTGTCCTCATCTCCTTCAGCACCGTGAGGATCCACTCACAACAACTGACAACTGCAGCAACAGCAGCAGCTTACCTGTTGACTGCTCACAACAACCAATACATGCAAGCTGCAACAGTGGCAGCAGCTTAACTGTTCAACCACAGTGGACCAGTCACTGCTGGACCACACAGACACACCTTCTACTTCCTTCTCATCCCAATTCTTCAAAGAAGAGGATGAGATATCTCCTGCCTGCCTCAGCCTTGTCTTCTCTCTGGTGCTGAGATACTGGATCATCTCGTAAAACCAAGACATGCAAGCTGCAACAGTGGCAGCAGCTTAACTGTTCAACCACAGTGGACTCATCACTGCTGGACCACAGAGAAATGTGTTCCCCCTCAATGCAGGCAGTGGTGAAGATTCTTCACAACAGAGCAAAAGGTATTGTCTTCTAATTTCATTTGTGCTTATCTAATGTTTTAATGTAATGTTGTGTTCACTCATGTATTCACTTCTTCCATCAGGTCTTGCTCCACTGTGATTCCAACATTTCACAGTGAAGACACTCAGGACTGCACAGACAGAACCAAACACCGAAGAAGCTGACCATCCTGCAGCAGTCCTAAACTTCTGTGTAAGAAGATGTGTTGCCCTTCAGCAGTGTTCAAGATATCTGCAATGACTACCTCCACATCCCCACATGTGTATCCACTGCTGTGCACAGCTCAGTGCAGCAGGACCTGCATCCTGTGGATCCTTTGGCAGTGATCAGATGAACTGTTGCAGGGAACCAAACTACCACAGATCAGTCATCCCTGTCAGAGTGAACGTTCCTCCTAAAGCTGTGAAGGTAACACATTTTTGTACTCGCTTCATACAATATCTAACTGTATTAACAACTGCAGGAATGTGAGGGGTAACGTTTTTTGACCTTTTTTCTTTAAGACTCTCCCCCTCCATGTTGCTAAAGGAAACTGGAAGCAGCACTTCTACAGCGATTGGACATGTCAAAGGTCACCATCTTACCGCCCTTACGTCCTCACACTGAACGTTGACCGTTTTGATGTGTGCCTACAATGGACAGATTCAACATACAGCAACCAATACTACTGACCCACTGACGGACTGACGGACTGACGGACTGACGGACTGACGGACTGACGGACTGACGGACTGACGGACTGACGGACTGACGGACTGACTGCCACTGAGCAGTAGGACAGCAATTTGGTTTGATTTTTTTACTGGTCCTTTTTTTTATTACCTTTTTTACCTGATCCAAACAATGCATGTTTATTTTCATTATATGTATGTTCATTCATGCCATCTTTGCTTTCCCTGTTTACCTGTGTTCTACATGTATCTAAAAGACATCGTTTTCCTGTCCTCTTCCAGGTTCATTTAACTGGAAGAGGACAGGAAAACAGTACAACTAGTGATCACGAGTGTGGGGTTTCAGCTGGTAGATATGAAAGGTTTTAAAGGATGTTCACGTTGTACCTAGTTTTGGGCTAATCTGAACCCATGAAAAAAGCTCTATATAAATATAGAATCAGCGTTCAGTCTGTGCAATCTAAGCTGAAGCCATTGTCTTCATGATGCATACGACATGTGACTTGGTTCATTAAGCCTTGTCAAATTATTTAATTAGGAATTACATTTTCAAATTCTTCACTGAGTTCACTCCTGCATTTCAGTGAGGCTCAGTAACTTGAGCTAGATGTTGGTAAATGACAAATTGACATGACGATTGCTGTCAGTCAAGAGCTTCTGGAGCTTAAAGCCATGAACTCATAGGGCTATTAGCCTAGCTAAACACAATGTGAACATTCTTTCAGGGTAGGGCTGGACAATATTGTTATAGTTTTGTTGATTTTTTCAACCCAATTTTACAGTGCTACTACAATGCATCATTTAAATATACAGCACACACTTCCTTTGCCTGATGGTGACAATATGGGTAAGCCCTGCCTTATCAACCTGTTTGATAAACAATTGATAAACAACCAAGCATTTTGGTTTTGCAAGTATCATCTTGTTTTTTGTTTTTTTATTTGTTTATTGGTCTTTTGTTTTATGCAAACATTTAGGTGTATGATAATTGTATCAAAGGTTATATATTAATTTCCATCCATCCATCTTCTCCCGCTTATCCGTGGTCGGGTCGCGGGGGTAGCAGTTCCAGCAGAGAGCCCCAAACTTTCTTTTCCCTGGCGACATCAACCAGCTCTGACTGGGGGATCCCAAGGCGCTCCCAGGCCAGCGAAGAGATATAATCCCTCCACCTGGTCCTAGGTCTACCCCTTGGTCTCTTCCCAGCTGGACGTGCCTGGAACACCTCCCTAGGGAGGCGCCCAGGTGGCATCCTAACTAGGTGCCCGAACCACCTCAACTGGCTCCTTTCGACGCGAAGGAGGAGCGGCTCAACTCCGAGTCCCTCCCTGATGACCGAACTTCTCACCTTATCCCTAAGGGAGACACCAGCCACCCTGCGGAGAAAACCCATCTCGGCCGCTTGTATCCGCGATCTCGTTCTTTCGGTCATGACCCATCCTTCATGACCATAGGTGAGGGTAGGAACGAAAATGGCCCGGAAGACCGAGAGCTTTGCCTTCTGGCTCAGCTCCCTTTTCGTCACAACGGTGCGGTAAAGCGACTGCAGTACCGCTCCCGCTGCTCCGATTCTCCGGCCCATCTCACGCTCCATTGTTCCCTCACTCGAGAACAAGACCCCGAGATACTTGAACTCCTTCACTTGGGGTAAGGACTCATTCCCTACCTGGAGTGGACAGTCCATCGGTTTCCTGCTGAGAACCATGGCCTCAGATTTGGAGGTGCTGATCCTCATCCCAGCCGCTTCACACTCGGTTGCGAACCGATCCAGTGAGTGCTGAAGGTCGCAGACCGATGAAGCCATTAGAACCACATCATCTGCAAAAAGCAGTGGTGCAATCCTTAGTCCACCGAACTGCAGACCCCCTCCCCCATGACTACGCCTCGAAATCCGATCCATGTATATTACAAACAGGATTGGTGACAAAGCGCAGCCCTGGCGGAGGCCAACCCTCACCGGAAATGGGTCCGACTTACTGCCGAGGACCCGGACACAGCTCTCGCTTTGGGAGTACAGAGATTGGATGGCCCTGAGTAGAGACCCCCTCACCCCATACTCCCGCAGCACCTCCCACAGTAACTCCCTGGGAACTCGGTCATACGCCTTCTCCAAGTCTACAAAACACATGTAGACCGGATAAGCGTACTCCCAGGCCCCCTCCAGGATCCTTGCGAGAGTAAAAAGCTGATCCGTCGTTCCACGACCAGGACGGAATCCGCATTGTTCCTCCTCAATCTGAGGTTCGACAATCGGCCTGACCCTCCTTTCGAGTACCTTAGAGTAAACTTTCCCGGGGAGGCTGAGTAGTGTGATGCCTCTGTAATTGGCACACACCCTCTGATCCCCCTTTTTAAATAGGGGAACCACCACCCCGGTCTGCCACTCCTTCGGTACTGTTTCCGACTTCCACGCAACGTTGATGAGACGTGTCAACCATGACAGTCCCTCAACACCCAGAGCCTTCAGCATTTCCGGGCGGATCTCATCCACCCCCGGGGCTTTGCCACTGTGGAGTATATATTAATTTAACTTTCTTAAATGTTTTAATGCAGTTTAAAAAGTGCAGCTGACTGTAACTATTAATCAGATCATTTACACCATAAATAATTTATTGTGAAGCTGAAAATAAACTAAATAAAATAACATTTCACCATCCACCTAATTTTAAAATAAAACAAATAAAATAATCCTCTTTTTTTGTGCAGCCAAAGGACCATTTCCTTCTGGTTTGTCAACGTTTTCCTATTGTAAGATCTAAGGCCCAAATAAAAGTTTCGGCCTTATGCAGAGAAGATATATTTATATACATTTGAGGTCATTTATTTTAATTGCATTGTTTGTATGTTGTACTATTAATAGGACATGACTCGTAGTAATTTATTGCTGCATTTTGAAGGATAATAATACTTTTAATTACAACTAAATGGTTGACTCACAACATTTATTCAAACCTTTTAGTGGTAATTTGCCTGCTTCATACGGTTCAAATGAACTGTCCATTTAACTCTCATTCAAATATTCACTTTTGCGCTACAACTGTTACTCCAGCTTATAGTACCATAATACTGCTATTGTTGCTTCTTCTACTACTAGTACCTATTCTACAAAGTACCTTTTGTCTCATCTAACTACTTCAGCATACTTTCAGCTACTGAAACCATTCAACCACTAAATCATTCAGCTATGTAAGGAAATTATATCTATGAATTTTTTGTTTCTACCATTTTATACTTTATACAAAAATAACAAGCTTTATTACTTATTTCAACTCTGCCTGTTTTACATTTCATCTTCAGGTTATTCAGCAAATCAGTGCAATGCATTGGGGCTTTACAATTTTCATTCAAGTACTGTTTTCACTATAATATATTGTCAACTTTGATCAACAACAAATGTATTGGTTCAAACTTAAAACCAATCAAATATTCAACTTTGTTACAAGTAAAAGTCCTGCAATCAAAATGTTACTGAAGTAATTACTTCTTTCACATTCTTTCCTTTATTTTATATTTTATTTTGAGCTGTAATTCAGTAGTTAGCAGTTGCATTCCTACTCCAATGCACTATTCTCATTCATTATCTCTTGTTTCACTCTGATAGAAAATGTGATAGCATTGTTTCATATATCTTACTGATCGACAAAAAGGTGTAACTTCTCTAAATTTAAATATGAGGAAATGTATCTAAGTGTGCCTCTCTGGTGTCTATTTGTTTGAGATAGGCACTATATGTTTCAGATGCAGACCTTATTATCCTTAATGTTAAAATAAACTATTTTCAATGGTACCGCTGAGAAAGAGTCATTCCTTGGTCATGGAATAACATTAGGTAAATGTTATGGAGAAGTCTTTGAAATCATTGGTGAAAAGTATATGAACCCTGAAAATAAAAGCCCCTAGAAATGCAATGTAAACAAACTCGAAAGCACAGGATAAGCTTTTTCAGGACATGAATGCTGTGACTGTTGTTGGTATTAACTTTCATTGTAAAAATATTCAGCCTTTTCAAATCCTCTTCAACCTCTGTCACTTTTGAAATGCTACTCCTTCAGCTAAAGAGTTCATTCAAACTTCAAGCCGGTGACAAGCAAATTATCTATTAAACTACATTTTTGATATTTTACAGTTTTTGAATGATCAGTTTAGGTTTTGTAAAATGTTAAGACCATTTCACATTTTCTAATGGGTATAACGCAGTACTGCAGATGGTCAACACGCTAACCAACATAATGAAAAAGGCTAGACTTAGTATTTCATTAATTTGTCTTAATATTTTGTATCTCATTATGTTTGATTCAGTATGTCTTTATTTTATTTTCGAAGAGCTATCATTATTTTGTGTCATCTCAATACCTTCACAACCCTGAAATACCTACTGCCAGGAAAATAACCGAGGTGTAGATTATCTCGTCTGTGATGGTTTGGTTACAGATAAAAGTAGTGTTTTACTCATTGTTAGTTAAATGAATAAATACATTTTGCCACAGAAGATTAATAAAGTTCATTATAAAGTCTAACATTTAATCAATTATTGACTTGAATATTTCAATGAAAATGCCAACAGATTTTGTTGATGTGATTTAATTTATGAATAACAAACAACAACAACAACAACAACAACAACAAATGCAAATAACAAAACTGATGAACTTACACATATATTACATTACAATTCCCGTATTTGTTCTATTTTTTTTATTGTTTTCCCCTCAATGTAAATATTACCCCTGATCGTGTCTAATTTTAATTTGGCTTCAAAAGGCTCCCATGTAGCCTTCTCAATGGAGAATACTTCCCCACTCTCCAGCAGAACTTGCAGCTGAACCTCACAGGCACTGCCGCCACTGCCACTGCCACTGCCACTGGCACTGCCACTGCCACTGGCACTGGCACTGCCACTGCCACTGGCGCTGGCACTGCCACCGCCACTGCTGCCACCGCTGCAACCGCTGCAACCGCTGCACTCCAAGTCCATCACCCCAATAATTTCTCCATATATAGTTTGCAGTTTTGGCTTCTGTTGAGGGAAAGTGGGTATAAGGATTTAAATCACTATTTACATTGAGCGAATAAACAATTGATGACATTTAAGTGTAGGCTATGTAGTAGTTTCTTTTTTTCACTTAGTTTGATCTAAAATGTTCATACGATTTCATTACATTGATTAAAATAAGAATTCCAAATAATTCCTGTTTTAACTATCAAAAAATGTATGTAAGTAAGGTCATATTCAGATCCAGGATTTAAATTGGTTAATGTCTTCAATCAGAAATACATTATTATTTTCTTGTTAACAAAAAGTTCCAAAAACATTAAATACAAATAAAAACATATCTTTCATTCTAAAACTGTGTTTGAAAAAGATCAAATAACAGATTACACAACGTACCTCAATCTTGGTGAGCTGTGAGGATTGGAGCTGGATCCCATAGTCGGTGCGAGTGGCCTTTAGATGGCTGATGATCACCAGCTCCCCAATGTTTGCTGCTGCCATGGCAGCTTCCCTCCAAAGGGTGATGGAGATTCGGTTGGACTCCTGTTTAAGGGAGCAAAATAGTTGTATCTAATGTCACAACAATATCAAAGTGGAAACAAAAAAACTTCAACAAAGTATTCATCTTGGGGTGATACAATATTTTCAAAAAAAATTGAAACTTAATTGAAACAAATGAACCAATGTAAGTAAAACATGTATAACCTACCTGCTCCAATGTCAACCTCCGGGTTGGGACGAATTCTTTTCCACTCCGTACCCTTTTAACCGCAAACATCTAAACAACAAGGTGTTCTGTTATTATCTGTTTTTATATTGAATAACAACATGATAACTACAGACAAAACGTGGATGTATTTAGGACACATTCACATCTCCACCTGGTTTATTTTGAGAGCACATGCCACCGTACTGATAATCTTAATACTAGAAAGTAAGGTCAAAGTTACCTCAATTATTTCTCCCTGCACTGACATGTAACCTTGCCCCTCTGTGCAGTCCTTGATCAAGGTCAATGGCGAGGCAGGGTGGAGGAGGGCCTCCGCCTCCTCCAGAAGGTTTTGCGGCACTTGCAGGGTGGTTCCTCGAAAAAACATCGTGTTTTTTGCTATATTCATAAAATATGGGGGAAACTGCCCGCGCAGTGTGTACCCCCTTATTACATAGGTACCCCCCTCTGTGATTTTTGAGGCATACTCCTCATAAATGGTAACTTTTATTACACTGCTGCCATCAGACAGAATGGCCACTTTGTTATTTTTAATGGTGGCCGCCTTTACTGTGGCGCCAAAGTCCCAAGACACCACTTTTGACTGGTCCTCCAGTTTGAGCACCTTCACAGTTATTGGTGGGAGCTTGAAATAAGGTGTGTCCATCGGTGTGTTGAGCACAGTTTTCAGGGCCATGTTCTGAAACAACAAAATATACACTTTTATTAGTTTTTAATAACCGAAGCATATTCAAATGAATGAGGAAATTGTGTACATGACTGCCTGCTTGTTTGATCAACCAATTGTCCCCCGATACCAGGCAGTCAGAGATCTCAATATAGAGTATATAGAAGCGTGAAGGGACCATAACAAAATGGTTATTAACACATTATTTATGAATCATTTGACATTCTCATCAGAGTGTAATGTACATTTAATTATCATTATATTCTAGAAGTAAAATTCAGTCTGAAATGTAATGAGAAGAAAGTAGCCCAACTTTCACTTAGTTCACAAAATAAAGTTCCTAATTGTAAACGTAATTTGTAAATTCATTTATTTAGATACAATGTTATCATATTTGTTTTAATATACATTAGAAATGACATTGGAACCTTCATGAGGTACTGCTTGCATGACTACTTAAATAAAGTAGTTGTTGAAGTTATTCAACTAGAATATATATTTATGTATACTCATTATCATACATTTTAATCTAAGATACACTTGTAAAATCAAGTTTAAGTGGACCAAATTGATTTTGGTAGTGTTGTAAAATTCACACTGAACATATTCTATCGCTTATCAAGAAAAGGTGATTTCAAGCATTCATTAACAAATGTCTGTATAATGTCAATATATAATTGTTTGGATAGTGGTCGTTGAACATGTTAAATTAAGTTTTTAAAAAACGTCTCTACAACTATGCCGTAAAACGACGGAGTGGTTGAAAAAGCGGCCCATAAAAATCACATGAGCAGGACAGATTCAGTTTATGTTAGTGACATGCCATGTGCAAGTAGCCTGGGCGACTCGACCGTAGTCAGACAATACAGAAAGCTAAGGATCAGAAGTTTGTGAACGAATATAACCCGTGAGTCACATTTTGGAGTTTATTGGATTTTATCTATGTTTTTTTTCGAACAGCAGCAAGGGTGAGTAGTAATTTGATGTCTTTCTGAACGCACGTAAACTGAACAGCATGTGCTGGAGAATTAGCTCCGCGACGAGGCTTTTTGTTGTATTAAGGATTACATTTTCAAATATGTAAAGGTGAGATTCCTTATCCTAAGTTATTTAAGTATATGTGTACCAATTCCGTTAACTAAACTTAACAGTAGTCAAGAGTTAACGTTTGCTACTTTATACAACGTTAACTATCTGAAAGCCGTAAGATAGAGCAGTGTGTTCTAGTTCTTGAGCTAACGTTAGCTCAGCTACGCATTTGATACAGTAAACCTACGTGCTAGCATTAGCACTGCTGATACGACTTGACATAATAGGCGCTTTCACACCAAGTACTTTTCCCACTTTAGTTCATGACAACTAAACAGTTCATATGAACTAAGTACAGAGCGCTGGGCTAATGCGAGGAAATAGGAACCTTTTTCTCCCATTAAAGTACCTGCTCTCTAGCAGCGACTGAAAAGGGAGTGAAAAGGTTCATATGAACTAAGTTCTAATTCCGGATTTTTTTGGTGTGAACGCATATTTTCGGAACTATATTGAAACTAAAGTGGGAGAAGTAATTTAGTAAACTAGTGTTCGCTTAACTTCATACGTCATACCAGGGTTAGAGGCAATGAATTGTAATACTTTCCCCATTAGTTTAAGTCTTAATATAATTCATTTCTAAAGTTAAGCGATGTAAAAACGTGCTTTATTTTACTTGCTTAATAACGAAGCTAAAATAAATAAATAGCTAATGCTAGCTCTCTTAGCTGTTAAGTTGCAACCCAGTGTCACGGCATTTGATGTCATAGTCACGAAATGAATTTAACGCTAGCACACTTGGCTGTTAGCAATTTACCAGCTAAGAAAGTTAGCGTTAGCTTAAGTAAATACTTACAAAAGCTTTTTTAACTTATTTATCACTTTTCACATAGTCTTTAAACCTATTTGGGTAACTTTTCAAGGATATATGACATTTAAAAAAACCTACAGCGTAACTTCCTTAAGCTAAATGGGAGGCGTGTGGCGCAGTGGCATGTAATGTAAATGCACCGGTAGCAGCTGACTTACCTTTAAATGTGGTGTGAGAATAACACGAGAATAATAAGAATTATAAAACTAACCTAACTTGATAATATATTAATATAGATATACAGTAATTTTTGGTTGACAGGGAGTCGTTGAAGGTCGGTTTGTAACAAGTGGCGAGTATTCTAGTAGATGGTTTGCTGTTGACTGGTCTCACGAGACACCGGCTGGCCTCTGATATAGGGTTTTATGCCTCGCGACAGACAAGTCTTCCCGGTCTTTGATAAAGTGGGGTCTCACGAGACACCGACTGGCCTCGGATATAGGGTATTATGCCTCGCGACAAACAAGTCTTCCCGGGCTTTGATAAAGTCTCACGAGACACAGCTGAGTTGATTCCCTGACTATCCATTTATAATTCAGTAATTCACTGTACTTGATGAATACAAGCAACCTGGCAATTGTGGTAGGCTGTCACAGACCAACCTGGCTGACTTTTTAGCCTGGTGGCACAGGGGACATATGGCTAATAGTTCATTTTATAAATTATTATTTTTGAATATGATGTTGGTCCATACTCCATATTACCTTCCTTAGTCCCTCTTTTCCTCCATGTCCCGTTATATTGTCTTAGTTCATTATGATTGTATAGTGGATGTGTGTAATGTTTTATTTTATTCACTCATGCCAACAAAACAACTTAAATAGTAAAGGTATAATTTAATGAAACATTTCTTACCTACTGTAGATGATATGCCATGTTGATCTTGCTGAGGCCCACACTCTGAATGAATAAAGAATTGCTAGACAGACACCATAAACAGCTGAGAAGAATACTGACCGGCTTCTCTTTTTTATAATTATTGTTTTATTTACATTTATCACCTTTCTGGATAGAAGTTGTATTCAGCGTTCCTGTGCCATAGGAAATACCATGAGTAATTTAGGTCTTGATAAGTATGGAAAGTTGAGAAAACGACCTATTTCCAGACAGGTATCCCCATTCTGCTTTCTAAAATAAAAAACCATACATTTGAATACAAATCTTACAACAAGATTTTCTGTCATTTTGCAGGGAGCTAAAATGTTAATGGCCAGAACAAGGAGGTTTGAAAGTGCAATATTGTATGCGCTTCACAATGTATAAGAATATAATGGTTATAACTTAATTAATGGGTGCAATATTTCCCTTTGTTGGCTTTACAGTTAGAAAGGGGAGTTTGGCATTGTTCATATTCACAGCTAGTGGTACCACAGTGAAGGATTAAGGTTACACATTACCTGTCTGAGTTGTTGCACCGCCATGCTCCAGCGAGAGCATTGCGCTCAGCAGAATATGTTGGTGGTTCCTCGGAGCAGGAAAAAAAACCAGAGGTGACAGGGACTTCAGTGTTGCAGCTCCCAGACTGTGGAACAGCCTCCCAGCACATATCCGGACTGCTGAGTCTATTGAACTTTTTAAATCCCAGCTAAAAACTCACCTCTTTGCACTGGCTTTTAATACTAGTTGAACATTACATTTTTATATTTGTGTTTTTTATTTATTTATTTTTTATATGTTTCTAGTTATTGTGCTTTTAATTATTGTTTTATTATTGTACTTCCATTGGGTTATTCAATATTGTAGTTACTGCCTGTACAGCACTTTGGTCAACCGAAGGTTGTTTTAAATGTGCTATATAAATAAAGATTGAGATTACATGATGTATTCCTTTTTTTTTATGTTTGAAAACAATTGGTCCTTTAATTTTTGTATTTACTCAAGAACTGGTGCACTGCACTATGCAGTTCTTTTGTAAATGACTCATCAAGGAAAAAAGCACATTTTCTTTGAGAAAAGGGCTTTATCTTTCTTTCTTTCTCTCCCTCTCAATGTCACACAGATCAAGTCCAGCTGGGATGAACAGAGCATGAGGACTGTCCCTCACAACCCCACCCGGGAAACCCAATGGTATGCTGAGACAACGTCGGACCAGAGCCGGATATCCACAAGCTGTATTATGTCATGTTGGGAGGTTGCTGCTCAGTGGTTAGTGCGCTGAGCTTCGGATCACGCTGCAGTCAACATTCCGCTGTGTCCTTGGACAAGACACTTCACCTCAAATTGTTCCTGTGCGGATTCCCCACAGTATTGAATGTATGCAGTTGCTTTGGATAAAAGCGTCTAACAAGTGACATGTAATGTCCTCTAACAGACAATTAACATGTCATCTGAGTTTTTAAGATAAAAATACCTTAAACAACTTATTTGTACAAACATTTAGTCATTGAGTCACTGAACTACATAGTCACTGACGGCTTAATGCAGCTACTGAGACAGGCGAAGCTGGATGCAGCCTCCATGCTTGAAGTGGAACATCTGACTGAGTGGTGAAAGGACAACAACCTGGTCCATAACATCTAAAATGTCTTTGTTTCTTCAATGATTAGATAATATCACTCAGGTGTGTGTGTGGCCCCAATCTGCCCAGCAACACCATGGTTCCGCAGCCTGAGGTCGCGCTCCAACCGAATTAAAAAAACATTTTTTTTCACCAGGCTCTCAGGAGGCTGAACTCTCTTCCCACAGTATTTCTATCTCTTTGTCTGTACACACAAACTGACTATAAAGTTGACTATGATAGTTACCTGAGAGCATTTAAAAATATTTTTTCAGAAGATTTGAAAGACCCACTAGTGTAAGGTTTATTTTTTAAATAAAAGCATTTGATCTTTAACCATTTTAATTCATATCATGTAACTTTTCTGTATCTTTCCGGTAAGTTCAGCAACATCCTTACTTTGTTTCTGTAGCAAGAAGCAGCTACAGACACCATTCAACTTCTTCTGCATTTTCACTTTCAGCTAGAGACTTATTTCCAACTATAACACTCACAAGATAATCTAACTTTCTTTTAAGCTTTAATTTTCTAGAGTTAAAAGTTGCAGCTGACTGAAACTATCAGTCAGATAATTTACACCATAATCAATTTATTGTTAAGCTGAAAAGCAACTAAGTAAAACAAATTGTCAGCATCCACCTAATTCTAAAATAAAAAAAGGAACTAAAGATATCTTACATTTTTTGTAATCAGTGCAACTGCCACCAAAATGCAGCCAAAGGGCCTTATACATTTCCTCCTGGTTTGTCAAAGTGCCCCTATCGTAAGGTCGAAGGCCAACATGAAACGTTTAGGCTTTATGCAGAGAAGGTTTCTTTTTTGTTGACATTTTCTAATTTCTTTTAATTTCATGGTGTGTATGTTATGCTATTAATATGATATGACTCCTAGTAATTAATTGCTGCATTTTGAAGATGGCACACCATTGATGACTTTCAAAATCTAGTAAACCCTTTCATTGTAATGTGGTAACTTGTCTTCTTCATACTAATGGTTTGCTCTACATTATTTTGCATATACAGTAAACTCCACAAAGATCCTCAGGTGATTTGGGGATGAACTGTCTCTTTAACTCTCATTCAAAAATATTCAGTGTTGCGCTCTTACTCCAGCTTCTAGTACAATATGACTGCTATTGTTGCTTACTACTAGTAGTACTACAGTAACGGTTGCCAGGTTGCCATTGGCAACCATTTAGAAAAAATGTACAACAATATATTAGATATATATAATATCCTGCCAAACTCAACATGTATATTGCCTTATATTTATGTATATATATATAATATCCTGTCAAATCCAACATGTATATTTTCCTATTTCTTTATTTTTCTTGCTTATTCCAATTTTAATTGTCTACTTTTTCTAAATATGTTATACTTTTTAAAGTATTTTTTAACATGTAAGTTATTGCAATGCATTTCAGCTGTACCAGTTAACACACAGACACACACTCTCTCACACACTCTCACACACACACACACACACTCACACACAGACACACACACACTCTCTCTTACACACACACATTCTCTCTCACACACATACACTTACACCAGTGGTTCTCAAAGTGGGGGGCGCAGAGGCATGCCACTGGTCTCTCTCAAACACAGGCACACACAGACACATACAGACACACACACACTCTCTAACACACACACTCAAACACACACACACTCTCTCTCTCAAACACAGATACGCAGACACACACACACACACACACACACACTCTCTCTCAAAGACATACACACACACTCTCTCAAACACAGACACACACACACACACATTCTCTCACACACACACACACACACACACACACACTCAAACACAGACACACACACAATCTCTCACACACACACACACACACACACACACACACACACATTCAAACACAGACAACACACACTCTCTCTCTATGGCCATAGTGTTTGAACGGGTGGCAAAATGGTCAGATATACAAGTCAATGCATTATTATGGGACGCAGTGCTGCAGTTGGTTGTCTTTGATCTCTGGACACACACACAGGTGATATGATTGGGTGTTATGAGTAGGTGCTCAGGAACAGAAACAAACACTGACAGACTGGACTTTAACAGACTGTCTCAGCCTATTATTTTCTGTCTGATGGAGACTTCATACAGACTTCAACAGGTTCCACATATTTTATACATTATTGGTGACGTATGGTTTAAGTCGAAAAGTTTGCAGTTGAAATATTCTTCTGCTTTCCCAAGCCTTTTTACTTTCTTTTCTCATCTTAATACAAATTAATTCACTACTACTTACATCTGATATTTAACTCCTTCAGCCTATTTTCAACTGCATAACCCATTCAACTATTACATTATTCAGCTATTTCAGGACATCAAGGCTATACATGTTGTTGTTTATACCTTTTTTAAACCTTTTCTTTTAAATATTCAGCTTTTTCTGCATTTTTTTAGCTAAAAGCAGCTACCATTCAGCTAATAACATATTCAGCCTTTTCTGCATTTTCAGCTAAATTCAGCCATAAATGTTCACAGTTTACAGCATTCGCACGCATTTTCTGCAAGAAATGCATTTTCTAGTTAGTGCGAATGCTGTTTACAGCATTCCACTATAGTGCTTCAAATCTTTATTCTTCCCCTTATTATTATTATTATTATTTCAGCCAATATTTTGGCTTTCCATAACTTCAGCTTATTTTCAGCTACAGAAACCATTCAAATATTAAACTATTCAGCCTGTTCAGGAATCGATGGGAAACCTTCAACTTTTTCAAAATATGTTATACTTTTTGAAATATTCAGCTTTTTACACTCTTTTTTTAACATTGAAGTCAATGGGAAGAGCCTTCAAATCAGCCAATACTTTAGCTCTCCATAACTTCAGCTTACTTTTGGCTACAGAAACCATTCAAATATTAAACTATTCAGCCTGTTCAGGAATCGATGGGAAACCTTCAACTTTTTCAAAATATTTCATACTTTTTGAAATATTCAGCTTTTTAAACTCTTTTTTAACATTGAAGTCAATGGGAAGAGCCTTCAAATCAGCCAATACTTTAGCTCTCCATAACTTCAGCTTACTTTCGGCTACAGAAACCATTCAAATATTAAACTATTCAGCCTGTTCAGGAATCGATGGGAAACCTTTAACTTTTTCAAAATATTTCATACTTTTTGAAATATTCAGCTTTTTAAACTCTTTTTTTAACATTGAAGTCAATGGGAGATGCCTTCAAATCCTGTTTTCCTACACTTTGCGCCAAATGCATCTCCTTCCACATAATTTCAGCCAGACACTTCATTCAAACTTTCAAATGATCACAATACCTTCAGCTATAAAACTTGTATAAAATAATTTTGATATCTTTTCAACTTTTTGAGATATTGAATTTAGTTTGGAGCTTGGTAGAGAGGCATTTTTAAGATTTTTACATTAGAGTGGATGGAGCAGCTCATTAACTCTAGAGTGCTTTGATCTCAAAACAGAGTGCAGGACAGCTCAAAATTCTCCCCCAAAAATGTTTTAAACTTGCCATACTTCCCAAACCCTACACTCCTCAGACATATTTTTTCATGGAAAACGTAGGAAAACCTCTCCTAGCTTGTAAAATAAAGAAAAAATAAGAAAAAATATTAAAGAAAATGCCTCTTGAGGGCATTAAGTGACAAAAACGTTCAACATTCCTCCATTGAAGCCCATTGTAATTTCAGGCAGATATTTCCTCACGGTAGCAGCCGCACACCTTTAGTTAAACTGCCAAAAAGGCCACATTATTAACCCAAAACTACACAAAAATTACACTTCAGATACTCAACTTCCTTGACATGCTTCACGTTTTGAAATTTCACAGATATCTGTTACGGTTCTTCCACAAAACGTTCACATGTAAGAGGTTCATCTCTCATTCAGAACAATGGAAACCTGTGATCTCTACAGAGCTCGTTAGTTCAAATATAAACACCTGTGTAATGGAACACGATGATGTCATCACTCCAACTGACATGCAGCAGACTTCAACAGTCCAGCCGTGAAGACGATTCGGGACAGTCTTGAGATTTCTCCAAATGCCGTTGCCATGGCAACACAATGCTCGCCTTGAAACACGGTTTTCTCATAGCTTCAGTGAAAATACTCCAAACAGCCCAGAACTTCACAGGTTTGATAACGATGCAGCCATCAATGCATCTAAGCGTAGTATGGGGTGTCATCAAATGTCATCGCCATGGCGACAGACCACTCGCCATGAAACACGATGAGGCTGTAAGTCAAATCGACACTGTCCAATCGTCCCCCAATCTTCACTTGTATATCACCGGTCCATGCCTCAAGAGCTCTACGCCAAATCTGAGATCTCACCATATGCCGTTTCCATGGAAACGCATCCCTCGCCATACAACTTGATGTCGCTATAAGTCCAATGGACACGGTCCAATCGTCCCCCAATCTTCACTTGTATATCACCGGTCCATGCCTCCACAGCTCTACGCCAAATCTGAGATCTCACCATATGCCGTTTCCATGGAAACGCATCCCTCGCAATAAAATATGATGTCACTATAACTCCTATGCAAATGTTCAAAGAGTGCGCAAACTTCAAATGTGTGCTAACGGCCCGTCCACACAGCAGCTTTGAACAAATCTTGAAAATCTAGGAGCTGGGCGTGTCTGACAGCTTGGGGATTTTTTGCGAGCAACACGACCAACAACCAATCACATGAATCTCCCGCCCCCGACATACAAAGCAAAAAAAAACGGGGATTTTATGCGAGCAATATATATATATATAAACTCCCCAAACAGGCGAAAACCTACCAGTTTCACCCACTGTCTCTGCCACCTCCCTCCATGCCTGGTTCCTCCGGTTTGTATCCCGGTAAATAGTCTGGTCGTAAAGAACCGGGTGATTTGCTACCGTAATTTCTCGTTTGGAATATGAGGAAATGAACTGCGGGTCTGGTTCTCCCAGCTTGCACGCGGTTTGATTGGCTAGCGCTTGAAATGTCAGATTTGCATAAACGGATCTGATTGGCTGTCGCTTCCAGCTCAGCCTCAAAAGTTGAACATTGTTCAACTTTGGAATCCTGAACATCCTGGAAATCCTGGAAATCTTCGCCTCGCCCCCCCACAATGCAGTTCGGCGACAAGCGAGGGAAAGTGACGTCATCCCCATTCAAAGTCAATGGGCGGAGACGCGCTGGAAGCGGTGGACAAATCGCCAAAAGCTGCTGTGTGGACGGGCCGTAACAGTCCAGCCGTGAAGACATCTACGTGACAGTTTTGAGATTTCTTCAAATGCCGTTGCCATGGCAACACAATGCTCACCATGAAACACGGTTTTCTCATAACTTCAGTGAAAA